CAGCCCTTTAGCAAATACTTTCCAAACCCGCCACGTTTTGCCCAATGTTAGGGAATCCTTCTGGAGTTCCTTGCTATCAGTACAGCATCTGAATACCTGGAAGAGCTTATTTTCTGCAGTCTTGAAGATTTCTCTGTTCACTCTCTTCTCTGGGTCACTAATGGTGATGTTGAATAAAAGTTGGTCCCTGGTATACCCTGCTACTGACTTCTTTCCTACCAAGGCTTACTCCTGGCTTCCAATCTCTTAATCTGCTTTCAATCCATAGAAGAACGTTTCCCCCAGTACTGTGTCAACCTGTTTGCTTTTGGCTTCTTGTCACGCCTTTGTTAATGATACCATATTCCTCAGTCTGTCCATGCTCACGCAGAACATGTGCCATGGCGTTTCATTTTTCATTCAGACTCCTCGCAGATTCTGTTACGCCTTCTGCACCTGGAATGGTGGCAGCCGTCCCGCCTCGAGACCCCTTGTGCCAGACAACCTGACATACAATCTGCTGAGCCTCTGCTCCGAGCCCAGAAAGTGAAGAACAGGAGAGAGGCTGTGTTTTGCCCTGCAGCCCAGTGAGAGCCTTTTCATAGAGCTCCATGCTTAAAGCAGATCCGTTAGCAGGTGTGCTATGGCTTTGTACCACAAACTCCCTTCCCATTATACAGCCAGATTGGCGCCGTTACTGCGTAGGGTCGCCTGCCTTTCCACGCTGCGCAGAAGGCCTGTAATTCCTATAAAGGGGAAGGAGGGAAGAGCTGTCCTTTCAGAGACTTGCTCCACACAGCGCAGGAGATCTCCGGAGCTGCAGGCAGGCAGGGGACCTCCTCTTGGTCTTCTGTACCTCGACTCTTCTTCAGCACAGATTCATCCCCAGGCAATCATCCCCTCTCAGAGCTGCACCATTCTACGCTATATTAATTAGTCATCTGTAAAGTCACAAGACCAAATGGATACAGTCACTAGTGCCCAGCATCTCCATAATCCACAGCTCTGGTTCTACTTAAAGAAGGCTTCTCAGCCCTTGTTCACATCTGATGATAGTAAAAAATCACCTCTTAACAGCTGTCGGATACTTTGATGCAGTCAAGGCAAATTAGATAAACTGGCATAAAGCAATATAACAGTAATTTATTCTTGTCACTAAGACCAACATGTTATTTAACTCTGTAACTACTTACCAGTGGATCCAAAATGCTTTGAACAAAGTGACTCTAAAGAAGAAAAAGAGAAAGTGACCAAAATCAGAGGCTACATCAAACATAGGCGAGACTTAACACAATTATACAAAAAATAACAACAGTCTAATGAACAGTATCTGGTTAAGAAAACTGTAGCCAGTTCAAAAATCAGTTTTAATAGGTAGGTGTAATGATGTCAAACCTAGCATAAAATAGGCTATCCCACTGTATGTCACAGCTGGTTGCAGTCTCTTAAGAGTAACCCTTACTGATTGATGTGATGGGCTGTGGTTGACAGCTTATTTTTATACCCCTCACACTAATATCTTCATGCCTCTGTTAAAATTACACTAAGGACTAGTGTGCTTTGACATTAACAGGGACTGTTACATTGATTTCTCAGAAAGGTTGTTCAGGCCTTTACTTCTCAAAGAATTATCATCCATAGTTTTCAACAGGTTTGGGTTTTTGTTTTGTTTTGTTTTGTTTTTAAAGAAGTCAATGGCATGGTACTATATCTAGCCTAGACAGCAACTTCTCTGTTCATTTTAGGTATAGAGGGTTACTCTGTATTTTATGTGTTTTCTTTTAAACAGATTCATTAAACACCTGAAATGGATTATGACCAGGTTAATGGATCAAGTCATGCAAAGACACTATACTCTGAAATACAGAGATGAAAAGAAGGACAAGGGGACAACAAGAAGAGTTGTCATCACACCTTGTCAGTTGTGTGACTTTTCTCCATGGTCATTGCCTCTGGAGTGTGCACTAACTGCAGTGATTCATGCACCATACTGGGCTTCCATAGGTAATTTGGGGATGGACTGTATGAACAAATAGTATAAACTATGTTCTGTTATAACAGAAAATCAAGATGTTACTCAGATTTGATAAACTTTTGAATAAATACCATGTCACCCATATGGACACACTCTACATACTGCTTAAGCAAGTTTTACAATCACACATTGAAAACTCTACCAGCCAGTAGTTGAAAGACAGTGCTCTCTCAGGGGAAAATACACAAGAGTGACTGCAAGGAGGTTCTGTTCAGGGCAGTATTACGGCAAGAACTGTGCTAGAAAGATATTTTATTTAAATCGTGAGTTTTGAAATAGATCAGAGAGTGAATTTTATATGTCAGGTGGATTCATTATCTAATACAAGATACTTTGCAGATTGTTTAAGCTTATGTTCCTATGTACAGCTGTGAAAGCAATACAATAAAGACTGACCTTTTCCATGAAAAAGTTAAGCAGTCGTGTTGGAGTTGTTCTTTTTCAATTTGAACAGAAAATAATTGAAATAAGCTTTCCAGGAAATTCCAGTTTTCCTACAGGTACCTGCAAGTAGTTGCAGATTGTTGAGATCGCCAGCATGTAGGAAATCCTTCTCATGAACAACTACTAAAAAAATCAGACCTGAGCTGAAACACCAGGAACTGCACACTGTGGTGGGGGGTGGGGGGAACCCCATGCTATTGAGGACAGGTATTGTACTGGTTTTGTCTTATTATAGTTTTTAGAAAAGTCTGATTTTCGTAACTGTGCAGGCGTTAAGCCAAGCTGATGTATCAAGAGCATGTCAGATAAAGCAGAACTGAAAACATTTCTCCTGAACTCTCTCTATGCATTATGTCTGTCCTCTGCAGTCTGTGTCTCTACCATCTGCTCCCAGCTCAGGCTTTCAGATGCAGACAGATGGTGTCATGAGTCTCTTGACAGCCGGTGTGAAGGAACAAGAGGGTGATGCTTTAGATCCCCCTTGAAACAACGACAAAGAAACTTGCGTATCAAAATATTTTTTCCTGATACTCTCAGTGTGTTGCACTCAAATGGCATTTTTTTAACTCATAGTGCGTAGAAATTAGCTCTCAGTCCCCAAAATTTTGTGCCCCAAATGTAATTCTCAGCTGCTCCTGCAAGAGATGAAGGACTGTCATTGAACTAAGTAGCTTTTCTCCAAGATAAGTTCCATCAGATACAGTTTGGGGCCTTAAAACGCTGACAAGTGCTTTGTTCCATACAATCCCTGGCCTGCAATTCAGGGATGAAGTCACTTAGGGCACAATATTCTAACACATAAAGACACATTTAGGGAACTAAATCCCCATTTAGGCACCTATATAAAGAATAGCCAGTTTTAAAAACTTCCTAAGCTTCCGTTCACATGCCCATTTGGCACTAATACAAGAAAGGCTGAATTTTGCTACTGAAGGCATCATTCCTGCTGCCTATATAATTAGAAATTCATAGTTCACAGAGACGGCTTACACTAATTTTTCAGGGTCACATGCATGCCATTCTAAGAAATGGTTCAGTTTGTTATTATAGGTACTTATTGCAGTATCTACTAGTTTGTAATAATTTCCCTGCAGTGGGTTATGCCACACGATGCACAGATCAAGCAATACAAATTCCACCAAGTAATTAACTTTGGACATTCTGAAACTTGGATCAAGATTCTTGTTTTCTCAGAACAGCTTAGCTTCATACAGTAAAAGGATGGGGAGAGTACTCAAATTACAGGATCTGACTACCATCGTAACACAAGCCTAGCATTTTAACAAGGCTTCTCTGACAACAAAAAAGAGCATGGGCATAAAGAGAGTAGCATTTTTCTCACCCTAAAAGATTTTTAGAACACAGATTTGATCAGAACAGCTTTTTTAGGTAGCCAGTGAATCCACTCCTCTATACACAAGACACTCATTTGACAAAAGCATTCTGGATGAGCTTTGTGCCACAAGAATATCCAGACTTTGAACCTTGATTAATTTTAGAACTTTCAACTGCAGAAAGTCTGAAAGGATGAAAAAAACTTGCTGTTGTTAGCAGGCAGCTTCAGTCAGCACTTTTATATCTTCTAATTCTGGACTTACAGTCTGTCAGTTGGCATTGCAAGATCCCATTGCCTGTTAAAGGATTATTTCTCTATTTCCAGACCACTGAACTGGTTAGTGCCAGCAGGACGAACCTGTCTCCCTCACACACAGTGCTTTCCGTTGTCCTGGTTTCAGCTGGGATAGAGTTAACTGTCTTTCTAGTAGCTGGTACAGTGCTATGTTTTGAGTTCAGTATGGGAAGAATGTTGATAACGCTGATGTTTTCAGTTGTTGCTCAGTAGGGTTTAGACTAAAGTCAAGGATTTTTCAGCTTCTCATGCCCAGCCAGCGAGAAAGCTGGAGGGGCACAAGAAGTTGGCACAGGACACAGCCAGGGCACCTGACCCAAACTGGCCAACGGGGTATTCCATACCACGGGACGTCCCATCTAGTATAGGAACTGGGAAGTGGGGGTGGGGAATCGCCACTCGGGGACTAACTGGGTGTCGGTCCGCGGGTGGTGAGCAATTGCACTGCGCATCATTTGTACATTCCAATCCTTTTATTACTACTGTTGTCATTTTATTAGTGTTATCATTATCATTATTAGTTTCTTCTTTTCTGTTCTATTAAACCGTTCTTACCTCAACCCATGAGTTTTACTTCTTTTTCCCGATTTTCTCCCCCATCCGACTGGATGGGGGGGAGTGAGTGAGCAGCTGCGCGGTGCTTAGTTGCTGGCTGGGGTTAAACCACGACATCCGTTAACCTACAATACGAAGCTCTGAGCATGTCATTATGTTAGAAGCCACCAGTGGTTTCATAGTGTCCCCAAGAGAAAAATAAAAATAATTTTCAACAGGTACTACAAGCTACTGTAAAAAGGAATACTCACTTTTATTAATACTTTAAAAAAGATGTATAAAGACAACCAAAACACTGTATCACAATTTACAGTCTGTACATTATAAACATACATCTCTCACTAACTCATAGAACAGCAGTACATCCAACATGATTTTATCAGTCCAGACAGGGTCCTGTAACATTCAGCTGCCTGTGTAATATTTAGCACATTCTCAGATTCAGTCAGAGTGAAGTGTAGCTGCAGAATATATCCCTACGGGGCATCTGTCATGCAAAGCTTAGTTAAGGGAAGCCAAGACAAGGGCTCACCATAGATCTGCACAGCTGGAGTGCCGCAGGCTGATGGGAACATCAAGCAAGATTTGGCTCAAGCTACCTCCCATTCAAGCAGCTGAAAGAGGAGAGTGTAAATGAGATTTTTTTTTTTCCATGATGGGCTAGAGACAAGAACCATGCAGATAGTTAAGAAAAATACCACTTTCTAGTTACAATCATATTCTCCATAGAGTTTTTCCACCTTGCTCTCTTGTACTCTTTCCTTCACGTACTATGTCTGGTTCCCTGCCCTCCTTTGATTAACAGAAACAAAAAACAGACCTTCCTTCCTTCCTTCTTTAATTTGTCCACCCTCCATCCCTGCTGTCAAGATTCTGCTGGCACTGACGCTTTAGCAGAGTAGTGTAATTTTCTGGAAAGAACATAAAGATTGTGGTTTTGAACTGTTCAAATTAGGGACTTTTTTAGAACCAAATAACAGAGTATTTGAGAGGTTAGTTGAGAGATTCTAGTTTGCATAGATCCTTGGGTCAGTATTGTCAGTGCTTCCTAGCTGAAGAGATTTCAAGGAGGCTGTTGAGCTAACCCTGAGCTAACCATGAAGTAGAGACCTCCCTTCCCAATTTGTGGCATATTGAATATTCCTAGCTTTTTCCGTCCCTTTTTGTTTTTCTGTCTCCAGACTCTAACCGGACAGGGAGCTAGAATGCTAGTCTTGACAATTGTCTCTGTACAATTATAAGTTGTCTCCATGTTCACAGAGCTAAAAGAAAAGAAAAAAGAAGACAATTGGTTTGCCATCGCAGTCAGCAGGACCAATATTTGGCCCACATATCACTGAGACCAACAGCACAGACACATGGTAAGACTTTGAAATATGTTACTGTCTGTCATTGCCTAGTTAGTCATAACTCTGTAAAAGAAGGCCACATAAACCACACACAGTAGTGATTTCACTGTCAAGTATAAAATCGATGCTTGTACATTTATGCTGCCACCTGCAAGTGAGAAACTAAATCCCAATCCAGGTATATGAATTTAAAGCTCTCATTTGAGGCAGAGTAAAAACCTTTGAAGATTATCACTGTGAGGATTTTTGTACAAATAGCAAAAGCTATTTGTATGGTTTTGGATTTCTGCAATAATGTCAGAAAAATCCTTAATCGTTTTCCAGTTTTAACTCCTTTCTTTTTACTTCTTTTTTTCCCATCGTTTTGAAGGACTCCATAACAAGAGAGTGATAGAAAATATCTTTGTATCCCTTAAGACAGCATTGGTGATTAGCAACAAGAAAAGAGCTACTTCTAGATTCTTGTGGATAATCTCACAGTAACAGACTGTTTTCTAAGACTGATCATTCTTATTTATGCTCCTGACTCTAATGCTTCAAATCAGTTCAGACAGACAGGTGAAACTGGTAACTTTGAGCTTTGGAAGTCCAAAATCATCAAACCGAATTTGATTGCAGTTACCACTGGCACCATGAAACAATTAGATTTGATCTGTCACTATTTCAGACGTTGCAGGTCCAGCAGCTTGCAGACTACTCTCTGATGAATTGATGATGGAATTTTATACTATCAGTATCCTGGTGATTCCTGGTCATATTTAATGGTGATCACAACATCCAGATGCTCTTTTCATCTTTGAAATTTGATATCACTTAACTCTTCATGACTTTAGTAGAAACACAACTGGGTCTTTGAATAGCATTTTAAGTGACCTTTAAAAAATGTGAACTCCATCATTCACCCACTTCAAGCATCACTCAAGAAGCTTAAATGTGACTTTTCATTTTGCCACTATCATGAAAGTCAGCCACCGATTCATAAAGCAGCAAGAAGATAGGAAAACACAGATGACACCTTCCCCTCTTTATGTTACCTGTGAAATGATGAAAACAGAATATTAGATATATGCCTATCAGCCTAATCACCATTAACATCACCAAAACCATGTATTTGATGTGCTTTGAAAACAGACAAAAGTGACTGGTAGATGCTGGATGTTTCAAGTTTGGGAGACAGGATCCAGACTTCCTGCTGCTACTTATCCTCAGTGCTAATGAAGAAGAAAGTTTTCTCAAATACTCAGATACTATACTAATGTGGTAACTGGTGCCAAAGCCATGTGCTACAAACATGAGAGAACAGCAGTGGAGGGAGATGCAAGGGGTTGTTTATGCAGAGCTGCATTAAACACATCTTTTGCTTGGTGTGAAAGCTGACGCAGTGTCCAAGAATCACCGACTTTCACAGAGCAGAGCTCTCTACTACTGACTGCCATTGCTCTGTGTCCAGAGGAAAACTGAGGTCATTTGGGAGCTGACCTACATGTTCAGAGACTCTCATTGTATGCTCCCCTTGAATGACAGACACAGGAGGTTAGAGGAAACTTTGCTTTTGTAAGGCTTTCTGGCAGTGTTGATATCCCTAATGTCTTCCTTCCCAAGTATGTATGGTTATTCAACAAGACAAAGAGTTAGTTGTACTGTAGGCTATTAAGCATCACTACAACTTTTCACTGCTGCTGTACAAAGCTAGTCTGTGGCGCTGGTATGGCACCTGAGTCTTCCACAACCTGTAGCCTGATCAGTGCCATACATATAGCTCAGTCAACATCTGGTGATTAGGGCACCAAGTGCAAGAGTCACGCAAAAGCTTGGCTCACTGCATGGTTTGGTGAGCCATTGGCAACTGCAGCCATTGCCAGGACCATTCAAGCAACAGCTCAAGCAGCTGGCGTCACTCTGCAATGTGGTTTTGCCATCTGAAAGAAAGCTGGAGGGCATCTGGTGTCTGGTTTGCCTCTGGCTTCTCATTCTTCACTGGGATCATTTCACTGATGCATCCTGCGTAATTTTTCTTAAGAGGAAGCACATGGCAGAAAACAGGGAGCAGAATCCTACACAAAACCCTAACTTCCCATGCCTGCTGCAGCAACTCCAGTCCAGGAGTGTCAAGGCAGTCAGATCCTGGTGATCATCAGCAAACTGTTAGAAAATTGCTAATGCTGCTATTATTTCAAGGATTCTTGAAACTGTGTGGGCAGAATCAATGAAGTAAAAGTGGCTGCCAGTGGCTAAACCACCCAAAACAGACTGAGAACAAGGAAGGTAGGAACCAATGATTTGCTCCGAGTACAGTATAGGCACAGCTTCATAGTGAGACAAGCAGCTGTTGAGGATTTGTATTAAGCAAAGGAAAAGTGAAAGGACTTACTAAAAATCAACACAAAACAATCTCTAAGGAGTACAGAACTCATCTATTATGCATGAGAAGTACACAGAGCTATTTAGTTTTCCACAACAGAAAAGAGAAGGTAAACAGGCCAGCTGCCAGTCACTGAACTGGGCTGAACTAGAAGTCCATTCTTGTTGATGCAGCCCTTGCAGTCTGCTAGGGCTGGTGCCAGGGAGCTGGGGGAGGCCAGGTGAGTGGGGGGGAAAGGGGGCCTGATGTGATATTGATCTGTGCCACTCCAGGGCAGCATCTCCTTACTTAGCCATGTATGCATCGATGCTGTTACTGTGCCTGCTGGCAGTGAAACCAGAATCAACAGCTGCCACAGAAACAACTCTTGTTGTCTCAGGGAGCCAGGGTTTATGTTACCTTTTATGGGATCATCTGAATCTACACACTGATCCTAGAGTCCAGCTGCTGAAGGTGTTCGAGAACTCCGTAGGGAATGGTGGGATTCCACATCCTGTAAGGGCAAATTCAGAAAGGAAAGAGATTTTGAGAAGCGTAATTTGCTTCACAGTTTTTTGGTGTGTTTGGTATGCTTGTGTTTTGTTTTGTTTTTTTAAAGTTGCCTTTCCCTTTTGAATATCATTCTACAAAAGTATTTAAGCTATGGAACAAATGAAAATGCATATTCATTTATAAGAAAGCAGTTCACTCCTCCATAACCTGGCTGACTCTCGTTGTAGGACACACTTACAGTCCCATCTCCGTAACTGTTCTTTAGCTTTCTGTCAAACTCCCTTCCCCTCAATGTGTACTGGCAGCTTCAGTCTAACCTCTAATGATGGCTGCTCATTGTTTATCCTTCAAACACAAGTCCTGCAGCACTGAGTAGGTCAGCTACTCTGGGAAGGTAGAAGATTAACAAAGAGAGGCTCAATGTAAACTATGCTTAAAGCAGGACAAGCTTGCTTGCCTGTGACGACTGGGAATTAATGCAGCTGAAACCAGAGACAAAATTTTTAACATTTCTGTGACTGCTTTTGTATCTTGGTGATGTCTTTTTTTTTGCCTCTTATAAATCTGACAAATACAGAACACAGCTTTAGCATGAATTCTAACTCAATTTACAGAACGAATATACAGCAAACAGCGTATCAAGAGACTTACACTAAGTTCTTTATATGGGGACATTTTCGTAGGCTGTCAGTCAGCTGCTGGGCTCCAACACCAGTTATTTTGTTATACTGAACACTGAGGAAAAAAAAACTTTGTTAATCCAGATCACATCATGTAGCAGTGTAATCAAACATTTCATTCAAAATAAAAACTACTATACGAGCTTATCTGCAGATGGGGGAAGAAAGAAAAAGAAAAAAAACCAAATAGATCCTTGATTCAAAAAACCTGTAATAAAATACTCAAAAGGTCAAATGGGAACTTCATTAAGTTAGTTCATCTGAGGGATTCCTTACTCTATGTACCTGAGGTCTTTCTCCAACTCCCCATGATCCTGTTCTCCCATCTTAAAACCAATTTTTCAGTTTTTATGGTGAACTGCTCCTTAATCCTTTCTAACCACTGACTATCTGGACTCTGCAATAGCACATTTTCCCTGTGAAATTTCCCTGAAATTTTCCTTCTCAATTTCTGTCTCCTCTACCCTGAGCATAGAAGATTTGAATTTTCAGTATCCAAGCAAGTAAGCTTTCGTGGGCCATGTCAAAAGATTTCATACTCACTCTAGCACTCTTAAAGATGCCATCGCAGGAAGAACTTTCGCAAGATTTTCTGCTCCAAAATCACAAATGCTATTATTGTATAAGCTGCAGGAAACCAAACCGGTATAGTCACAGTTGAATAATGGATAATGTAAACAGATTATACATTAGATCAAGGAATTTCCGATATGGTTGGTACACCTTACCTTCCAATTTATCCTTATCTATTTGCATCCTAATCTATTTATTAATTTTTAAAACACAGTTTCATATTTTCTGTATCAAGTAAGGCAAATGGCCACACCCCTTCTTCAGCTAGCACAACTACAGCAAAAAGAGGTCTAGATTCTTAATGAATAATGAAAGCATTTCTGTCTACATTAGATCAAATTAAAAGCCCACAAGAAAATGAAGCTCAAAGATTTGGGGCACAGCATTCAAAAGATTTCCACATGAGCAAATTATTCCAGAATTGCACACCGCGGTTTCTTGCATTCCCTACTGAGACACTTCGTTCAGGCCTATGCCAGGCTTTTAATGAAGTGGGATGGACCATTGGTCCCGTATCAGAAAACACACACCACCTTGTTGCTGGCTTAGGGCTTAGCACTGCACTTAGCAAGCTCTGCATAAGCTTGCAGTAGATCATGGCCCTGGGTCTACACTTGTACAGGGTATTATTCATAAGTGGGTATTATGGATTGGATTTAAAAATCAGTACAGTCCTCATTATATTCCTGAGATATCCTTCTGTATGTCTACACTGGGTCATACATTTCTCTGCTCTTCTCTCTAAAGGCTTTATGCAAGAATGAAGTTAAAAGCTTGGCTGCTGCACAGAGGACATATTTGTTTATGTTCGGTAATTTCTCACAAAGATAGCAAGGTATGTTGTATAAAACAACTGAACAGGATATAACTACTTACCTTAGTGTCTTTAACGAAGACAAGAAAGGAAGAGCTGTAGCTAGCTTCTCCGCACCCACATCTGTTATCTTATTCTGTGATAAGCTATAGCAAGTGAGATTGCTTTGTCAGTTGAGCACATTTATTCTAATTTATTACAATGTGGGGAAAATTAATTTTTGATGTCTTTTTTGTATAACTTGGACAGTCTGTTTAGACCAAATGCAGGGAAAAAGACAAATTACGACCCTTGAAGGGAAATGAGGAATTGCCAGAGGATTAACTTATTTCTCTAATGAACGTACAGATTAAGTATGTCCATAGACTCATTGGCCTTCCATGCCCATGGGTTAGTTGTGCCCATAATTAACACACGGTCCCTTAAGGCTCTAGGTTTAATCTATTACTTTTCATAATTTCTCAGAACTGTTTATCTTGCACTTACTTTAATGTTTCCAGTGATTTCAGGGTTGGAAAGACTTCAGATAGACTCTCTGCTCCTTCATCTCCTATGCCATTTTCACTCAGAGCATCAAGGCTGGGTGACAACAAAGAGAGAATTAGCTTCCCTTTTAATCTAAATTTTTGTGGTTTATTCACCTCAGAGACCACTCTATGTATCTTGAGAAGCTCCCTCCCTGCAGTAGCCTCAATCAGCATCACACAAATTATAGCTTCTCTAATAAGCAGCTTTCTGCTTCCCAAATTTACAGCCTAAGAATTTTTTTTTCCTAGTTGAATGGCTTGACCCATTTCCTTTGATATGCAAGATTATTAAAATGGTTATGAAATAGCTGTGTTCCAGCTATGCTGAAATGAGATTTCCTGTGCACACAGAAATACAGAATGGGCAAAATTGAGCAGATGCTGTAAATCCCTGCCTGAACAGCTCCTTCTCCAGATAGGGAGTATTAGAAATTAAGTTTTTCCTCATTCAGGTATCCAGATAGTCCCAATTTTAGATACTGGATCCCCTTCTAATCTGACAGACAACACTGGGATATATCAAACTCATTCCAATTTTAGAGCTTTATTGTTTTCCCAAAATATCATGAAAAGGCCAGATACATTACAGACAAATGGCCAATGGGCTGAGCCAGTAAGGCCAAAGGCCCTCTCAAAACCCAGTAATCTCCCCACACAGATGACGGCAGAATATTGACTATTGTTGCTACAATTGTTTCTGGCGTAAAGAAGCTTAAAATTCAGAGACAGCTGGTTTGTCATGGATACAAGAGAATAAATAGTGACTGGAGTTCTTAAAACTCTATTTCTAATACTGCTCCTGCTAAAGGAAGGGACTAAGACTGTGTGAAAATATGTGGGCAGAACAAAACCAGATACTAGATGAGTATGGCTTTTTTATATCTTTTATATGAATCAAATCCACAAAGCTCAATCTCTTACAAGTTCTACCAGAAGTTCAGGATGTTTGTTGACACCGGCACAAATACTGAAGGTAACCCCCAAATTTAACACTGCTTCTGGTTCAGGAGGGATACTGTTCTCTCCTGGGGCAGGCACGACTGTGAGTCCCTCAGAAACCTCACCATGAGGGAGCCTGGGGCTCAGGCATGTTACGGAGCTTGAATGAAGAAATAAGTAATGTGCCGGCAGTGTTGATCAGTGCTGTGGCAGGAAGGGGCAGGACTCAGTGGGGCTCTGTACTAAACCTTTCCCACAAGCTTTTAACCACCGAGGAACACATGGGTAAGTTCGACTGGTATCAAACAAACCACTACCAAGGGTCTTAAAGGAGGATGAAGAGCGCTAGCTTTTAGTCTGCTGTTATACTCTCTGAATGTTTTTGTTGTTCAGTTTGTTCATCAAAGCAAGTAGTCTTGTTGGCAAATAAAATGTTTCTTGAGTACACGAGCTCCTCCATCATCAAGGGCTGCTGAGGAGCAACATTAGCAAAGTTAATCTTCAGCATTACTCACTCTAAGTGCTGAAGTGATGGAAATGCTGCAAGAATTTCCACGAGTTTTAGGAATCCCTGAAGGCCACATACTGGACCCAGCCTGGAAGAAAATAAATACAGACATGCAGCAGTTTTTTAACATGCTTAGAAACAGCAAAAGTTATGAATTTTTAAGTTCTTGCCCTGCAGCCCCAAATGCAAGCTAGTTTACGCTCCTCAGAAGCAGCCATTCCCTACAATCTGCAGCAAGGATGTCTGCTTTGAAGCCTCCACATGAGGACCCCGCAAGGCTAAAGTCAGACAGAGCAGAGCTGCTTGCACAGAAGCAGCGGTACAAGCATTTGCCACTTTGTTGTTACTCTTTACAAGACTCATTTCACTCGTTTTAGATTCCTGTATTTCTGTTCTTTTTCAGTTTTTTTTCAGGTTTTTCATTTTAAGTATTATAGTCTTGATAACTGAGATGAAAAAAATACTTCCCCCCCACCTCCCCCCACTACTGGCAATTCAGACTAACTTAAGATCACATTTCACTGCAGCTTAAAGCATAAATTGAACTTTAATATTCCAGCTACAAGGATTTGTCCCTCAGATGCTAACCTCTGATTTGGAGTTTCCCTGGTATCAGAAGAACTTCAGCCTAGTTAAAGGGATCGGAATTTTAACCAAGAATTTAAAATAAAGGGAAAGTAGGAGAGGAAACGAGAAGAGAAAGCAGCATAACATCAGAAGTGGGACCAAGCATAGCAGTTCTAGAGTAGGTCGGATGTGAAGAGCAGGAAACAGGTGAAGACCTGATAAGAGTTCTCCATCGCACTGGTGCAATTTCTGCCCAAACTAATTCACATGCTATAGCAGCATATTTTAAGCAATAGAATAGCCTTGGAGGCTGCTTACAGTTTGGGGGAAAAAAGCAACATTGCTACACCTGATTTTTAAAGTCAGTGTTTCCAAGTCAATCTTCCTTCTTCCAGGGAAATGGTGCTAAATATTTTATTTGTGAGGCATTCTCTGACCTTATTCTCTCATGGCCTAAGCTCTGATAGGGAAGAAAATTACATCAGAAGACTCAGATAGAAAAGTTGAGCATTTCCCAGGTAGTTAGATCACCATCAAGTTATTTTATACCCTGTGGCACAGGATCTACATCTGGTGATAAGGAGCTAACCTGCAATATAATCAAACAAAATTGATAGAACCATGTTGATCTGTATCACTACAGGAGCCAGAAATGACAGGTTTTGAGTTTCGGTCATAACTTAATAAATCTAGTTGAGAAAAGCAAAGTAGCAATAAATGGGGTTTACTTAATGCTTTACCATAACTTAACTATATCCATGACTCTTCCAGTCTTAAATGTAATCATGTATCAACCAACAGAGAGGAAAATTCACTTACGCAAATTCTAGCTTTCTGAGGTTTTTGATGGCAGGAATTTCATAGCTGCTGCAACCAGATGCATCTTGCACACTAAATAAATCACAGTAGAAACAGAGTGTGATAAATATTTTAGCAACCAAAACAGTCCTTTAAAAATAATTTCTTAGTAAACTTTCACAGGAAATAAACCACTGCTGCATTAACTGAGGAAGCAGGAAACTGCAGAATAACTTCTGCTCCAACCTTTCTTCACTCAATTCATTTCAACCTGATAATTGCCTTTCATAGTGCAGTCGTTTGTTCTTTTTCCAATGAAATTGAAAAGTACATTCTTCTAAATCAAGTATTTTCTGTCAAACATGAAACTTATTTTGTGTATATTTTAATCAAAATACTCTGCCCGTGTTAAAATGGAAGTAACTATTTTTACTTAAAAAACCCAACCAAAATACTTTATTTATGCATGCTTTTAATTGCAACCAATCCCGTAGGCACATCATGAGCAGGGATGAAACACAGGGTTTATAAATCACATAACACAAGTTTTTAGCTCCTGAGCTAAAGGACTGACTCAGGTCCTTTGTGACCGGTACAAAACCAGCCTTCATTTATGGCCCAGGTGCTACGCAGCCCAAGTTATGTAACTGAAAGCAATTGGAAGATGGCACACTCAGAGATTAAAAAGAAATCTGAAGAAAAAAAAAAGACAGCTGGCTTTTTTATTGGCAGTTTTGATAAATATTCTCCAAGGTGCTGTCATTGCTCCTCCCTGCCGTGACAACCACCACACCTCAGGTTAGGAGAACACTCTGAGACAATACAAGAGCTTGCACTGCCTACTTACTTCTCCGTTGGACAAGCAGAGGAGTCCATTCTCCAGCACTGTCAGTGAACACCCATTTTCCTAAATCACTAGTATATTAAGAGGATTTTTGATCATAAACAAGCCTACCAATTGATCATCTTCTCCTGCATCTCTACAAGGTCTGAAAGGTCAGTGATGTCCTTCATTGTCTTTGCCTTAAAGGGATCAAGAACAAATTTCTCTATTGATGCTCTCAGCAGTTCATAGTCTTTTGTCTGTTCTAAAGATTTCCAGAGCTTGACTGTATCACTGAGGGAGGCCCTGTGAAGTGACAAAACATGGGAAATCAACATATCAACAGATATGACTGCTGTTGTTGCATGAAAGTGTCATCTGCATGCAGTCCTATGAATGACATTACTATCTACAAAAAATGACCAACCTGAATGATGCCACATTCTTTAGACCAGCCAAGTCTTTTAGCCCTTGCATGTCAATGCTGCTGTTTCGCAAATCCAAGGAAAACTCTTTTCTTGACTTTTTTAAAATAGAGCGCAGTACATGGACATCAGGTGGTGTAAGAACTATGCCCAGAAAAGACAGGTCTGGCTTAAGCCTTAAGGCCACATGCTGCAAAAGATAATTGCTTTGTGTTTCATAAATACAATGTAAAAGCTCAAGTAACCTCTCCGGACAGAGCTCATTTATCTGCAGCCTTCTAATATATTTCAAAAGTGTTTTCTGCTTCTTGGTTGATTGTTTTACATCCTTATTTGAAAGGGAACAGAAGTAGGGATCATCCTGGAGGAACAACAATCCGGCCAAAAATCGAGGTACTAAGTCTAACCAGTTATAAGGTTTTTTCTTCTTGGATGGAAAAGACAAGTACTTTGTTAGACTCTTATCCTTGATGTCTTCTGCTAACATAAGGTGAAGTGCACCCAAGAAATTCTGAATGACAAAATCAGAGAATGTGCTCCCAAATTCCTCTTCTCCACTATCTGAATGTCTGGGGAATGCAAATGGCAGGAAAAATCCATATTTCAGAGCAAACTCTTTAACTTCCTTAGAAGGAAGAAGATCACTTTTCATGGCACTTTGGTGCTTTTCTCCAAGATACCAGGCTATACGGGCTAGCGTAGCAAGACTCTCTTGATTTTGCACGGCTGTAACATCTGTTTGCATAGGTATTATCTTTTGCTGAACAAACTTCAGGAAGACTGTAGTAAGAGTTGAAGGAAGGCTTTCATCTCCCATTTCCAGTACTGTCTCACAGAGAAAACAAACAAATCTACACATAACAGGGCTGTAACAATGACTGAACAAGTACTCACACTCTTTGATTAACTTCAGTGCATTATCACAGTAGGGTAATCCTTCGAAGTATTTGGTTATGTACAATTCTCTCTGCTGAGGGGAAAATCCTACTATTTCAATAGTCTTATCCACTTTGGACACATACTGGTACACCTTGTCCTTTGGTCTTGCTGTAAGTAATAAAGTACAACCATTGAGTATCTTTTTTTGGATGAGTCCTGAAAGCAGCTCCTTTATACTGCACAAGTCTTCTTCAGGCTGGCTGGCCGAGCAACGAGGAGAATTGTCATGATCATGCAACCCTTCAAAACCATCAAAAACCAGAAGGACTTTAGCAGGATTTTGCAATAGATACTCAAAGATCTCTTTGCTTCCCTCTTGAGGTTTTATAAAAAATTCAAGAAGCAGATCCTTCAGGCTGTATCGCCTCTCAGGCAAGCTTATTTGTTTGCAGTCAAACCAAAATACAAATTCAAATTGAGGAAACTCTCCATTGGACCAATCCTGGCAGATCTTCTGAACAAGAATGCTTTTGCCCATTCCTGCTTTTCCCAGCACCACAATCACTTTAGTGTCTAAGTATTTACCTTCCAGGATTTGAAATATTTGGCTTCTGTTAAGGACTGCCTTTTCCTTCCCTTGCAGACTGCAAGTTACCAGCTCCTTTTCCATTGCTTTTACACTATTCTTCCCAGTCTTGGTTTCAGTTTGGCTTTGAACAAGTGTCCCATCAATAAACAGGTGATCAAGAGTTACTTCACGCTCCATGGCCACAGATTTGCACACGTCTCGGAAATAATCCTTAAGTGATGTACAGAAAGTTTCCACTGGCTCTAGAGAAATAAAAAGCACACACAAACTGAAGAAATCAGTCCACAAATTACAACATTGCTTCATGGTGGTTTAAGTACATAATTGTAATATGGTCAAAATACATCAGTTCCCATAAAGCATGTAGGTCTGGATTTATCCCATGCAACTACAGGTGCTTAAATTAGGAGTGCAGGCACTATAGACACTTTTAGACCTATAAACTGAATAATTTTGGAGGTATCTACACATATGATAAAATCGACTAAGTACACTGACCTTCTAAGTAGGTACTACAGCTAGATAACTAAAGGTAGATAAGTCTAACATCTTAAAAACAGAAATCGTGCTCAGACACTCAGAACAGCTTCACAAATTGTTGAATGACAACTCCTACAACAAGTAGCTTTTCTGTATGGAAAGAAACAGAAAAATTAGCCAAAAAACACTGTAAGTTTTTAAGTTCAAGAGATCTAAACTCACTTGGTCTTTTGAATGGTTCTTCAGAAGGAATTATGGGAACTTGGACTTCTTTGAACATTTCTAAACCTGAAGAAACCAAACAATATATTTGAGGAAGACACCCAGATAGTCATCAATTCAGCTTTACTAATTTTAACAATAAGACTAATGCTATTTTTCATAATGATATTATGTATCATCCAGAGAAAGAAATATTTTATTTTACAAGGGAAAGGAAAAAAATCCTCACAAAAGTATAATGCAGCTGACATGAACTGTTGCAGGCAGTATGACACCAAAACAGATGACAGCTGTTCTGACAGTTGTATGAAGCAGAAGACCTATCATAGCAAGGCAACATCCACTGTTCTTTTCAAATATCACTGTTTTGCATAAATTCATGTTCACACATAGGACATCTTTATTTCACCAAAAGCAATAGCTTCCTTTTGTTACTCTACACTTTGTAACCAAACATTAAGGATGAAAGTCACAGAGAAGGGACTACTGGTAACAGAATTTACCCCTTACTCTTCCTGACAAAGTACTGTCACTGTCCAATTTTCTTTCTTTTTGCCTGTTTGTTTTCAAACTACTGCAGACTTTTGCCCTTGGTCAGATGAGCAGTGTCTGCCATACAAAGCAATGGGGAATTTTTCAGAGAAAGCGTATTTTCTACGGACTGGTAATGACAGAGTATCAGTTTTGACAAAACTTTTGGTACAAAAAGCTTTGCAGACACAGGACAGAATTTAAATTGACCGTTACAAACCCAACCTCGTAGTAACCACATTCAGCAGAGATGTGGGAAAAAAACCCCAAAACAAAACAGGTTAATCTCCCTAGATTTGTACAAATGTATTTATTACCATAATATTTGGTTCATCTTGATGTAGAATGTGGTTAAAAAATTACGAATCTTAAGTTTCAGAGATCTGGAAATCAATTCCTAGCCTGCATGCCAGCAACAGATGGAATGGTTAGAGTTGAGCTGCTTCTAGCATGGAAGCACCCATAGACTTCTAATAAGCAAGTCTTTGTCCAGTGAAAGAATATGCTTGCTATAGAGATAGTTCTCCTTGTAGAAGAAAAAATAACTTAAAATACGAATAAAGAGGGGACATGCCTGTTTTCAGGCAAGTGTCTAGTTTTGGTTTACTATTTATTTTATTAAATAAAAACAACAGAATGGAAAAACAAGAAAAGCTGTAATGAGACATTTAGATGGGAAGCAGCATTGGTCAAAACAATCAGGTGTTAATGAATTTTAAAAAAGGAAAAGAGACTGGCTTGGTAGCTTATGTGCTGATTTTCCTGCTACATTTGGAATTCTGAGGTTTGTGACATACTCACATAAGTTGTGCTGCTGTAAATCAGTTGGAATTATTAGTATTGTGTATTCACATAAACAGTATATATAATTTACAAATACTTCCCCAAACCTAGGGGTATTTGCCTATTAATCCTCACTTGAAAATTTTGCTATTTTGGGTAGTTAGCCGCCAGAGGGCAACAAAACACTCATACTAAACTGCAAGCAGCTGTAATCGCCAGGGTACACAGAGATCAGAAACTAAATAACCACTGAAATCAAACTCCATGTTCTTACAGCTCTCTGAGGGCTGGAAGAAAAGTGTCTGAGGAACCACAGGTGGGTCTGTTATACCCTGACCAAGGCTCTGATTTCTTTATAAGCCTTTCTGTATATTAGGCTTCTGTATTGTGTAGTTAAATAACTTGTCATCATTTTGGTTTTGGGGCTTCCATGTGAGCTGACTGCAGTCTGGCTTCCAGCACCAAGCATTTAAGATGCTCAGGCCGTGCCAGTACCAGCACAACTTCCACTTCTGATGGTGCTCAAGCACACTGGGCTTTTGTGTTGTTTTAACTAGACAAGAAGACTTCTTCCAGAAACTGGACTTCATAGCAAACACAGCGGATTAGCTGCTAATACATAGCACCTGTAGCTCTACAACCCCTTATCTGCTCTGTATTTTGGACTAGACTAAGCAGCCAGTGATCAATACAAAGAAGGAAATGCCATTAATTTTTATTTTCCTTAATAAGGTCAATATGAGTAAAGCCTGGAGGGGAGCATTGTCTTTGGGTAGAAGCAATATGCTCCCTCTCCCAATCCAAAGTACTGTATATATAAAAATTCTTTTTCTACTTACCACATAAACTAACTGGAAAACTTGGGGATATCAGCGTTTCCATGGAAGAAGTTAGCACTGACAAGAAACAAATGACAGTTTTCAGCCTATCATAGCTATCAGTAACTGAAATGAGGGAATTTAGTACTTTATTGACAGCATTGATTTTCCAGTACTTTCTGCCTATTTATGTGGATAAAATGTTACTGCTCTTACCTGGATATATTATAACATCAGATGTGCCATTTCCAAGAACAAGTATCTGCTGAGGAGGATCTGCAAAGCCTGTATTCTCTTGGTTCCCTTTCATGCCAACAGGTAGGCACTCTGGAATCAAAGGTGCTGAAGATTCTGAAATGAGTGCAGAACAATGCCTCTTCTGTTTTTAAAGTCTCCTGGTTTCTAAAGGTTTCTAAGAAAGAAAAAGCTTTCTAAAAGCTACTTATCCTTTCTGGCAGCTTCTGGGCAAATATTCCCAGTAGACAGTTTATGAACCACAATTCATAGGATCACATGAGGTCCATAGAACCCATTGAACAAAAACTCTTAAAAGGTACAATGAATGTGAAATACAAGGGATTACCCAGCTTTTAGTGACTACTGATTTTCAATAGTCTAAAGAGAAATTCTATTACCATAAGGAAAAGTGCTTAAGGCAAAGTCTGTAAATGTATGGACCAGAGATCCAGAAGAGAGAAAATGTGTAAACATTATGCATCTGAATTAATTTTACCATCCTTTGCACTACATCTTTCCCACATAATTGCACATCATGCAGCTTGTACAAGCAGCTAGCAAGCATCCTCCCTCTGAACTCACACTGGGAAATTTTTTTAATGATGAGGTGCTTGCAATTTAATCAGCCATAGCTCTGAGTTTCTGTAGGTGTGACAGAATTTCTTCTGCTACTTTGTGCTGTTTCAGCTAGCATCAGATACTTCAAGACTTCTAACTTATCCACCACTTTTTGGTTCCTTTCCAGCATACATTTAACAGCGAAAGGTGTTGAATTGTGTCTTTGTCATTAGCACTTGCCAGTGTACCATGAGCACCCTCTGCTACACAACGTGATCAAGGCAAGGTGGCTACACAGCCCATCACTTGGATTAGTACTCAGTTTTTGCGAACAAAACTCCAACCTAGATTTTGCTCTACTATTGCAAATACAATTATCCTGCAGTCCTTTACAGCTCTGGATGAAAAAGAAATTGGAACTAAACCAAAGTTTATTAGTGAAAATTTTTGTTACTTCCTATTCTTAAGACAAGTAAGTAATTATTTAGGCTAGCATATAGTAAGTAACTCTGTTCTCTTATTTATTAACCTGCACTTCACCAATTAAATGAAAGACTCATTCTATTTCATTAGGGGTAATACACTTTTTCCCTTGAATATTTTTCATTCTTTTAGTAGTGCCACACTTTCAAGTGCTTGATTGAAACAGCTGTCATACTTGTTTTCCCTGCCATTGTTCATGGTCAATGACCAGATTTATAAGACAGTCTTCCCCTTGTATAAATCAACCTGTGTACAGGTGCACACCTATAGCTGTACTGTACATACCGGGAATTATGAAACTTCTTTCCAATGCATTGGTAGCAGGAACAGAAAAGGACATGTGCTGCTTAGTTAGTGAGGTGAAGCCGGCTGGATAGCTGTTGAGAGGCATAGCTAAGAAACTGCCATTCCCTGCAGACACTGCAGGGACTTCCACTTGAAAAAAAAAGCAAAACAAAAGGAGAAAGTTATTTCATTGTTAGAAGTTAAGGCAGCCAAAGAACAGGCCTCAACAGACAGCATAAACCGCTTGATTCTGATCAGTTTTGTTTTGATTTTCCAAAAGCAAGAACAATTCACAATAGCTTTCTGAAATTTACTCAGATCTCAAAAAGGTAAAATGTATTTATGAAATTCTGTAGTAGATCACTTTTTTCCAGTAGTTCACTCTTCATTTTCTTTTTCTTCATCTTTCCTGGACTGCCTTCTTTCTAGAAACCTTCAGATGTGTTTAGATGTAAATGATCTTACATATGGATGATTGACAGATAAGACATAACAAGGTCTTACATTGTTTCCCAAGCATGGTTTGTTACCTTAATATTGCACAAGATTAGAGAGGCCCAAGTACAATAAACTGAGGACCTTGACTTTCTACTTAGACACTACAGTACTTGTAAGGATAACTAGTCTGTGTTAAGAGGGTTTCCCAAAGAAGTCACAAACACCCGAGTTTTAAAAGATGCAACTTGCCTGCAGCACTTGTTTTTTTCAAGAAGAGGACAAATGAGGAGGGAAACTCATGTGCATTGTATGACTTCATCTGCTTATTGAAACCAAGTAAGATACACTTGCTTATTTTGAACTAGTCTGCTGGTTTCCTTGATTTTGCCACACCCTTATTCTCAGAGTTGGTTTTGCTTTTCTTTCCCCCTCCTGTCTAGCAGCAACAATTAAGTCTCTATTTCATCGCTTTCCGTGGTCTAATGTTTTATCAGGAGCTACAAATCTGTGTAGGTTTTGTGCCACTATAGGTACACTGTCATCTGGAATGCAAGCTCTTTAGGGTAGGATGTGTCTACATTGTTTATCAGGAACTGATGTATTATTTTGTTATAGGAATTTTTCATTTTTACTGTGGTATGAAAACAGACTTTAAAAAGTGTTTTTCAGCTTGTGTGTAAATCAGCATGTGAAATTCCCGTGTAATTTCCTATCCAAGGATTGTCGCGTTGCTACGGTCAGATAAGATCAGGTACTGTTATAGCTAGCCACAAAGAACTGGGCAAATCTTGGGTTTGATTTCATTCAATTCCTTTGAAAGAATCTCATCCTTGGCTTACCACTCTGAACTTTAGTACACATTGTCCTCTTTACTGTAGATGGTCTTACACTTCTGAAGAGCTGATGCATTTGCCATTGCAGGATCATACTGTGACACTCGTTTTATGACAGGTTAAATAAATTCCTAATTTTGTCGTGTAGCTCATCTTTCTGTCAATTAGATTTTTTTGTACCCAGTACTTATACTGCCTTACGTATATATTCCTTCTGTTAGCACCTTCCTTGGGTCAAGTAAGGTAGAGAGAGTGATAATATTCTGAGCACTTTCTGGAAAAGGATAGGTGCAGCTTTACAAAGCACCTGTTAGCTCTGTGATGATACTGTAGACTGGAATGCAAGTTCTATAGGGTGAGGTATTTTTACTGTTTTGGTTTTGTTTTTTTTAAATCAGGAGCTGATGTGCCATTTCCTTATTGAAAACTCTCATTGTTAGTGTGGCATAAACATAGGCCTTAAAAAGTGCTAAATCTATAAAGGAATTCAAGCAGATAGAAGGTAATCTACCTTTAATGGGTACTAACTGCCAGGAACTTTACCCGTGTCTGAATAACTACAGCTGCCAGGCACCAGTTCAGTAGGAACTCCGATTACCTTTCCAGATCCAGCAGATGTATTTTTTTCACAGCTAATTCTGCTCAATACCCCCCAGAAGTCCACATGAACATTGGAAAACCAGCTTGAGTCACAGTCCCAGTGCATGTGTGTGCTCTCTATGACTTTCATCAAATCTGTGCCAGTTCCTTAGCAATTGCTGGGCAATTGCTGGCCTGAATTTTGCTGAGGTGCAGTCCCATGATCCAAGCACTCTCTGGATGGCTCTCTAGGTTACACACTGGTTTTGGCGGCCTACCATGACATGTACATGGCCCACAGGGCTTGGTACAGTCAGAGTTCACCTTAGGAGGCTTGGGAAGTGTGCTAGCATACCATAATGTATGTGTCACTTCAAAGCACAGTATAATATATTCATCCAAAGGTGATTGCTCTCACATGGATTTTGGAAGAGTATTTTGCTGGTTTAGCTATGCCTGAGACACCCATTTAGGCTACAGCTGGGTAAGAACTTTAGCACCCGTTTCCACCTAGGGAACAAGTTACAGCCTGCCTGCTGGCCACAGATACTGCCTTGCAGATGGTCTAACAGTATCCAACACCTAGAAATTGCCCTTTTTCCCATTCTTACTTTGGTTTAAAGGACTGTATAGCATGGGCTGGGCCAAGAAGCCATCTCTTCACAGTTATTATTTTCACTAGGATTGTTCCACTGGATTTTTGGAAGGTGTCACACTTCGAACAAAGAGGATCAAAATCAGGAAATTCCAAACTATGGCCTGAGTCACATTACCCATCATAAATAAAAGGTGTACGTGACAAAGAGTACAAAATTTGGCACTGACCCACTTCTCCACTGTTTTGTTTTCTTCTCTCAGATGGGTTTAGAAAAATTCAACTGTGCCTCTGCTGATGCTAAGGAAGTAATTTTTCTATCACCCAGCAGGAACATGTGCTTTTGAAGCGTAAGGATCCAACTGTTCCCAGCCTGCCATGTAGTTAGTCCTAAGATGCTACTGATAAGAGAGCAGGGATTTGTTGCATCATGAATGAGTCAGAGGTGTATAAGAATGTGATTCTGCAGTGATTTCTACTCTGCTGGAAGTAGGGACATGAAAATGCACGACAGTGCTGTATCGTCAAATCTATGAGAGCAAACTTTCTCTAGGAGGTAGAGTTACAATACCTAACAGAAGATGAGACTTTGGAACATGAGACAATATATGTTCAATAATCTTTTCCTATTCAGCCAATAACTTACCAATTTTCTTGTATTTGGGTTCTGAAGCACCAGAGCAACTCTCTGCAGAGCCTAAGAAGGCTGAAAGAAAGAAAGGTGATAGTACCTGACAAAAATTGAACCACTTCAGTAAGTTTAAATTTCCACTGTGGAAACTTTTTTAACTTTTTGTAGTAGAAGGGGGTGTTATCAGTTTCAATTCAGCTATTTCAGAACTTTACAGGTCCAATGTATAAAACATGAATGTTAAAAGTCTGATATTATTTTCTCTGACTGTGAAGTTTCAATTAGGCTGCAGATTTTTGTGCCAGTAATCAAAGATTTTTACTGCTGTTCTTGCTATTAAAGAGGGAATTGTTCAGCTAATGCTTGCTAAGCTATTGATACACTGAAAACAAAGTTAACACTGTCACACAGATGATAAAAAAAGGGAAGAAATATAACATGCTTAATATCGTGTTATAGGACAATAAATTCTGCAAATTGTAAAGAATGTGCCTGGGGGAGCTGTTTTCACTTCCAGCCCACACAGGATGATCAAAGTCAGAGGAAGCGCATCTAGTTGTATCAGTGAAGAACTACATGAGAGATGCATGGAGGTTGTGTTAAAACCAAAGTACTGCAATGCAAATTTAGAATTCAAACACTACAGCCTTTCAAACTCTCACTGTTTTTCACTTACTTCGTTTGTGACATTTCTGCATCTTTATGTCAGTAAGTTTCTCAGTGTTTTCAGCAGCCATTTCATCCAAAGTAAGGTTCCCTGCTAAAAACATGAAAGATTGCCAAATGTCAACCTTTGTTCTCCTCAAAAAATTACAGAAAGAGGTAAAAGCAAGAGAAACACACCAACAGGCAGCAAAGATGAAATATGCTCCAAATAAAACATAAAAACCAAATCACATAATAAAACACATATCCAGATCAATATGATTTAGAAAGCCCACAGAGCTCTGAATGCAGATTCTGTCACCCTATGTTAGTTTCTGAACTGCAAAATATTAATCTACTGCCATAAATTCAGTGGATAATAAAATATAAATCCTTCTCAATGCTCTAATGATGAGCAAAGGATAAAACATCACAGCTGTAACACAGTGTGACCTCAATGCTAGCAAAGTTACTCACTCATTTTATGTATTAAAAGGATTAGATCCTTTAAGAGACAGAGCAAAGGGTTCTAAACAGATTTTATATTTTGTGTTGTAAGAACTGTGAAGTTATCCATACCATTCTTCTACTGGCAACTACTTATGTACTAATACTGTATCTCGTTTCCTCTAAAACCAATATAAATTTTGCCATTAGGTGCAAACCCCCCCAAAGTCTAAACACATCAGGGAGCAGTAAAAAGCATCTAAAAAGTCATGTGAGCTTCTTGTAGCCAGAATTGTCCTAGGAGAGGACTGACCTTTGATAAGTTATTCCAAATGATTTTGCTCAAACATAAAATAAGATATACACATATTCTGTGAATCTTTCTGATTCTATGGATTTTACAACAGCCACGTATTAATCCATATATTCTGAAATAGTAAACAGCTGCATTTCTGCCACTACCAAAACAATTATTTTGTACCAAAAGCCAAGCAATTATCTCTGGTCAAGCACCGAGTAAAGGAATCATTTACTACATGTATATTATACCATTGCTGCATTGATCAGAGAGAGAAGTAAAATTTGACATGCTTCCTCAGGCAGCTCTGTGCATTCTGGACAGAAATAAGAGTGCATGAACTGCATTTATATGCATGCTAAGTCCTCTGGGTGGGTCAGGTTTAATGAAGTTACATACATCATCCTTGTTGTGCTCAGAGTAAGTCTGATGCTAATTGAGGGCATATACTGCACTAGACAGTTAAGCTGTGCATACACTATGGCCATGGTGACATAATCAACAACTTAGTCAGAGATAAAACTGCCATCTTTGAGAAAGGCCTGCAAAAATACAGAAAATCCTCAAAGTTTGCCAAGAAAAGTTCCTGGGAGAAAGAAGAGGATACCAGATGTATAGAAACCTCACTAGTGTTCAAATTGTGGGGATGAAGTACAGTGCAGATGTTAGCCAGAACACTGTGATAGAGACAATTAATCTTTGCCACATAAATCTTACCAAAAGTGTCTTCCACCTGCTTTTCCTGCTGATCTTTGAGCACATATTCTGCTAATTCAGCTAGCAAGAAGGAAAAAAAAAACCAGGTACACAATAATGACACAGTAAATTTCACAGTAAAACTCTTGTAAGCTTACCCTCATTAACAGAATTCTGCAGTGTAAGTGAAATTGAAGAGTTAAGTTTTTCTTGTAAATTGTTGTTCAGGAAATAAAGAACATGAGAAAGGGGAAGTTGAGACAGGAAGCATTAAGCAGAAGGAGCAATTAATAGAGAGATTTTCCCCCCAAAACCACAAGCTACTGTTCGTCTGTTTCCCCACAAAGCAGAGGTTTAGGTACCCTCGCTAGACCTACCATGCATGAGGGACAGGCCACTTGAGTATATGCCACTGCTTTAGACTGAAAATAGAATTTGTAAGAAATAGCTATAGCAAGTGATCGGAAATAATTATTTAAAAAACAAAAATTGCTTTCATACCTATTCTAGCATAGGCTTCTATGGTGTTGGAACAGAGATACAGTTCATCCCCATTTTCACAATTTTCCATCGTACACAGGAAATCCAAATTATTGAACTGATCATAGTTGCTGGCATCAGCTTCGGGATCTAGAATTAAAAAGGAGTACTCATTGGCTCAGTGAATACCGTAACCAAGGAGTAAAAAAACCAGATAGCGGGACTTGCAGAAAAGGCACATTTGTTACTTAAGCATAAGGCTTTGGCTCTTCATTGTATGTTAGCTAAGTAGGAACAGAACTGAACTCTTAGTAATTTATAGTCACCCAGAATCAATGCTTTTCTTTTGCTAAACTCTGAGACTTCATCTCTGCTAATATATAAAACAGTTCTAGAATCTATTATATGACACTAAGGCCTTCACACATGGCCTAGACTCATCCATTTTATTAAATGTTTTTATTTTTCAGGATATGGTGGTACCATCCAAATTCCCTGTTCAGAACGATGCTGAGCCCATGCTAACCCCTGAGCTGCAGCTACAAATTGCCTGTGAAGCTGCTGGCTGGCCAAGGCCACAAACATGCCAGGGACCATGCTAACATCACAGAAGAGATGTCCAACTTCCAATAACAGGCACCATGTCCTGACAATGCTCAGTTTATCTACACCATCTCAGACATTGCTAAGGCTCAAAAGTATTCAAATCAGCTGTGGTGGGTTGACCCTGGCTGGGTGCCAGGTGCCCACCAAAGCCGCTCTGTCACTCCCCCCTCAGCTGGACAAGGGAGAGAAAATATAACAAAAGGCTTGTGGCCGAGATAAGGACAGTTTAATAAAGTGAATGCAAAGGTCGTGCGCGCGAAAGCGAAGAAAAACAAATGATGTTATTCTCTACTTCCCATCAGCAGGCGATGTCTGGCCGCTTCCCGGGAAGCAGGGCTTCAGTACGTGTAGTGGTTGCTCTGGAAGACGAAAATGCCCCCCTTCTGTCTCCCTTTACTTAGCTTTTATATCTGAGCTGACGTCATATGGTATGGAATATCTGTTTGGTTAGCTTAGGTCAGCTGTCCTGGCTATGTCCCCTCCCAAGATCTTGCCCAGCCCCAGCCTGCCATTGAGGGTGGGGGGCAAAAATGTTGGAGAGACAGCCTTGATGCTGTGCCAGCACTGCTCAGCAGTAGCCAAAACACTGGTGTGTTATCAACACCTTTCTAGCTACCAATGCAGAGCACAGCACTATGAGGGCTGCTATGGGGAGAATTAACTCCATCTCGGCCAGACCCAATACATCAGCGAAACATCTCTGATACAAGAGTCAGTCCTTGATCCCTAATTCATCCTACTTTCAGTCACTGAGCAAGTGAGGCCATGGGAGTGAAGAAACACTCCTGCAGGTGTTGTTAACAGCCAGAAGTTGAAAGAGCAAAGCTCAACGTGGAAATAATTAACCACAAAGATGATTCCAGATTCTGGTGCTCGGTTCTCCACTGATTTGTCCATGTACCTGCTGAGCCTGGTCACTCATGAAAACAACAAGGATGCGAGGTGATATCCTCCAATTTGGTAATGTTTTATACCTGTCAGGCACAGAGCTATAGGACTTCCTATCTGGCATACAACTGTTTTCCTCCTTTCATTGCCACTCTCAACCCACAGTCCAGCTCATTTGTTTAAAATAAGCTCAGCTATTGCTCCACAACACAGTCAGCAGCACAGATACACTTTCAAACTTTCATGCCAGCAAATTCAGGAAGAGCACAATGTTCCACAACCTCCACACAAATTCAGGAGCAGAAAGTTTGAGAGCCAGGGCAACCTCCTAATCTGATTACCTGTAGGAATTTATCTGCAAGAAACTATCATCTTTACTCCCTGGCCCTTCTGCTTTCTCCTCTATCACAGAATCATAACATCATTGGTCTTTGCCCCTGAGAGCTTTAAAATGGCATCTGGTAATGAAATGTGTTGGTGCCGTAGGATCTGAGAAGGAAATGAAACACTAGTTTGCTTGCAGACTGGCTTCATCACAAACTCATATAAAAGTCTCTGTTTTGCAAAGCTTTTGGCCTGAAACTACAAAAGTGTTGACAATTGCAATTGACCAGGTTACAATAGGAACATTTGCAAATAAACTACTTACAGGAATGATATCCAAACCAAAGACATGAGCCTCACACCTTGATGACATGTATAGTATGTTTTGTTAGACACACTGAGCAGGAAGCTGTAAATATGTACAGACCTAAAACCATGGTAGTTTCTGGAAGCAGTCACGATTTTATATACAGATACAGACAAAGTTATCATATTGTAAGACCAAGTGTCTGTTGAATTTAGTCCAGCCACCATGATAAACTGCCATTAGATGGCTACGTAATTGAGAGGAGATGGTAATAACTTATAGCATGATGACTAAACTAATTAAGCTTTTTTTAGTGTTTTACTAACCTGCAGAGAAGTCACTTTCTTCATTTCCAGATGACTTAGGATCAAGGAGAGTATACAGATGCAATGGATCGATATCACTGTGCAGCAAATCAAGATAGCCATTTTCAGACACAAATACCGAATCCATGATTCGTCTCTTGATGTCTGAAATCAAATTGCAAAACAGTTAGCTATGACAAAATCACAGCTTTTGTCAACCAAAACAACAAGTCCTGCACTGTGGCTTTCCGTTGACAAGACATTGAGATCTTAAAGCTGTGGAAGTGGTATTGCTTACCAAATCTTGCGTTGAGTTATAACCCTGAGTTACTTAAACTTACAGATCCAGATACAGCTTGTAATGAGACTTAACTATTTTTTACTGCCATCAGGGGAGTGGGATACTGCAGTCTGACCACCTGGACCAAATATCGAGTAAGTCACAACTCCTGTATCTTTATCAGGATATAAATGATGCAAGCACAGATCCAGCAGGTACTGGGGAAATGAGAAGACTGCCGTGAAGAGGATGGAAGAAGAATCCCATTCTTTACCGTTGGGACAATTTCTTCTCAGGGGAAGCGGCTTCTGGCTAGGATACTACACCCAGTTCCTAAGCCCTGGAGGTGGTACTAGGAGACATCCCTTCAGCACAAGAAGGAACAGTGAAAGGTAGAACACATATTTTGTATAATTCTTTCCCAAACCATACAGTTGACTGTGTACAGAATGGCATGGTCACCTTAGCAATTAGTTTCTGGTAACAAGGCACTCACTGACATTTTGGAATCTATCACAATTATTTTTTAATCAATTTTCTTTCCCCCTCAGAACTCCTGCATGTACCTACTCATGAGCTAGGAATTGCTATAGCCTTTCAAGCAGAGTGCCATACAGTATCCAGACAAATCTGATTGATCTAAGGTGCTCCCTGCTCCAGTCACCCATGGTTATATGAGAACTGCTTAGACTGTTGCAGCTACATTTCTTGATAAAGCTTACCTCTTCCTCTACCTCATTTTAAATCCCTTCTATTTCCTTCCAGTTACTGCAGCGGGCACTAGAACAAGCTCAAACATTCCTCTTGGATATTCCACAGGTAGTGGAATAACACTATGTGTTGGTTATTCATCATCTTTATCAAACTATTTGAAAACCAAATATTGGCTCCTCAGTGTTTACAGATCATTGATATGAATGCCACCTGGGCTGGTGATCCAAATAATTTACTCCACCATAATATTGAGATGCCAGCATGAAATCACCAACCAGCAAAATTTCCAGACCATTTCGTGTTAAAATAGGTGTCCACACACCACAACCATGAAAAGTTTCAGCTTGGCATCAAACACCATATTTTGCAATGACGGATAGCTGTAATGCAGCTCTCAAATATTCTGCCTTTAGCAGAATGCCGTTGATGTCCCTGGTTGCATGTCTGCTTTCCTGAGGTACGCAAATGTGAAGCAACCTGCTGTACCATGAAGTCTACCTGCAACATGAAAAAAGAGAAATCCAGCTAACACTGAAGCTCTGATGAAAGAAGGCAGAGGAGACCTAGTCACACACTACCGCATTCTGTTTTGTTATAAACTAATCTTTATTCCTCTTACCCCTCTGCAGGTTGTCCCCCTGAACAGCTTGGAAATGGACCTTTGTGCGGTCTGCTGCATAAGACACCAGAATCTAGAGCCAGAATTTAGAAGAGCGGTCCCATGAGTAGGAATAACCCACACTCAGGTAGTTCTCCTTTTTCATGTTGTGTGACCTCATTACGTTACCAAGATTACAAAAAATTGATTTTATTGCCTGCCATGCTATAAATGGAAAGCAGAAGTTGACAAACCTGCATGGGAACTAAGAATGAGGTTATAAACATACCAGATGAAATTTTCCGTTTGTTGCAACATTTTGCTTTGCCCCTTCCTATGTTGAATTAATGTAAAATCTAAACAAGAGTTGGGCCTTTCAGAATGCCAAGTTGCCAGACTTTGTGAATAATGCTGTTGAAGCATTATCTCTGAGTCAATATAATTTTGGGGTTAGAGACAGAGAAGCAATTGGGCAGAAGCTGTAAAGGGAATGCAGGACAGACAAATATATCACTCCAAGTTCAGTGATTAATAAACTGCTTGATTACAGCAGACAAAGAAAAGGGCAAGTCCTATGGAAAGAGACTAAGTAGGCCTACGTAATCTTCATGGAAATACTAAGCTTTAATTAAGTCATAGACACAAAAGCTTTTGTTATTTTAAACCTTTCTTTCCATAACATTTCCTTGTGGATAAACACATAAGTAATGCAAAATGTTTTCAGCTACAATGGTCAAGAAGTCAGGAAGCAATCAAGAGGAAGTCTTGCCGGTGCTAAGTCCAGCTAGAGCTGAAAATAGAGCGTAAGAGGTGTTATAACCCAGGTGCACAGGAGTGAAGGAAACATAGCCTTCTACCTTGGGAAGAACGAAGATTGCCACTCTTTCAAGAATGAAAAACTTGATTACTTTTTTGTTTTACCGGTCTGAATGGCCCTCAGCTTACCCTCTTTTTTCTTCATTACTGTGGTTTTGACACAAATCTATACATAGCTGTCTTTCTATTGACTACACTGGATTTGGGATGCTGTGTCTTCTTTCTGCAGCTGAACCAACATATTCTTAATAGCAGCTGTGCTTTGCTGCATTAAAGTCATGGTGCCACCACGGAAAGCACTCTGTCCAAGGGTGCAGGAAAACAGAAGTGAGTTTTTGAAAGATGAAAATTTCTACGCTGGGAGAGCCTGAGGTTAATTACCCCTCAGGGACAGTGAGTGTTTTGCTGTGTGTTGTAACTGAAGCACATGTGAAAATGAAACCAGACCTTACCAAGCTTGTTTACAACAGCAATTCCTTTCCCAGGGCTTCCCCTTTTTTTTATCAGAGCATCCCAGCAGTCCCCTGTCTGAGACAAAAGATGAATAAGTGCTATACTACTCAGTACTTCCTCCATTGTTTCATACTTTATTTTAACTTAGTTTACTGATAATACATTCTGTTTGGGGTGCCATACAGTGCTGCCAAAATGGGCATTTGACACATTTTCACATCAGAGGACTAAAAAATTTTGTAATAATTTCTGCGTTAGGGCTGTGAATGCTAGAGCCAGCTCTCAGCACGGACCTGCAATAAAAGGACTGAAGTCCCCAGGGATGCCTTTGCGGCAGGCCTTCATGCACAAAGTGCATGTGCTGGGCAGGGGCAAGACAGGACATACTTCCCAACGTATTTCCATGCCATGCAGGAAGTTCAATCCCTTGTTGTTTGGACACTGGTTAAGGCAGATTTTTTCTTTAAATCTTTAAATAACACCTCCTTTCTCCAGCAGCCTATACACTCCAGCTGAATCGCTATATTTGGTAGACCTGTGTTACATTTGTATTACCTCTGCAAGGATGCAGTGCATACCTGCTACAGCAAGGTTTCTACTCAGGATGCATTTGTTTCAGCGCTGTATTCTGCATGTACAGCACAACTGTATGATTCACTTCTAAGATTCTCAGTGTTTTTTACAGTGCTCTTTTAGAGTCCAAGTGATACCATATGAATTAAAAATGCTGGAAAAGTAGTAAAAGAAAGAGTGAACATCACCATACCAGGACAAAGAATCCAGTTAAGGAAGGAGCAGGTGTTCACTTAAGTCACACACAAGTCTTAAAGAGTTAGATGGGGCATTTTAGATTTCTAAAGATAAGGGAGGTGGTTGTGATTTATCATTTTGCCCCAGTAATTTGATTTAGCCATGTCTTATATTTTAAAGGATCAACATGTTAAAGACTCCAGGCAATGGGGTCTGCTACTAACTAAAATCAAATGGTGTCTAAGAGAATGAGAAGAATTATACAGACAATAATGTAACATTTACTCCAAAAATACGGTGGATGTTTCTGAGGAGATTTGTTAGGGGGTTTCCTTCCCAAAACTCTGCTGACATCTGAACTGACAGGTAATAAAATAATTTCCCACATGAATACAGAGGTTAAGAAAATGAAAATACGTAGTGATTTCAGTAAAAGAGAAACCCTCCACAATTTAATTTTTGTACCAGTTTAGGAAGCTGAGGATAATTCATAGAAAAGAGTAGTAATGCCATGCAAATTACACATTTCTTAACCTGAGGATGACATAACATTACAGCTCCAAGTCTTAGATTACAGAAAAATAAGAGAGTATGACTGCTGTGAAGACAGGAGGTTGAAAAATTAAACACAAAGATTGCCGAAGAAAAGTTATTTTCTTGCAACACCCCAGACCCATTAAGGGCTACACAAGAATCTGAGTGAAGCAAGCTGACAAAAACCAGGTTATATCAAACTCTAAGTAAGGAGTCCAGTGAAAGACTGGTACTTTGAGCTAAAAGCTCAGTATTATCAGCCAGAATTTTAAAGCCTTTTTTTTAAACGCCTTTAGAAAGTCTTCTCTTTTCTTCTGTGCCCCCACAGGTTATGTCATTGTGCACAATACACACATCAGAAGGCAGGGATATGTTTACCTGGCTTTTGCCGCAGGCAGTGTACTGGGGCAATGTTCTCTGGGACGTGGGCAAGCCGGCAGGGAGGACGGATGAAGTCCCCTCCATGCTACAGTCATCTGTCTCCCTTTCCTCTCCCCAAGTCCATCGTTAACAATTCCTCTGCTCCACAGGTACCAAACAGATTTTCCTTTCAGAGATGGCCTGATTACTTGTAAACTGCAAGTAAGGGTGCTCAATTTATACTTAGCTTTGAAGGTTTTGGTTTCTATTTCAGATCTATGGAAGGCTTATACATCTTATAGCCGGTTTAACTTTTCCTGTTGTATCACCGATTTAACAAAAGATACTACTTTTACCCACACTCTTGCCAATGGAGTGGTGTGTTACTTGCCATGGGCTTTATAGTCTGAAAAGGAAGAACAGAGGTAATGTTGGAAAAACAGCTGCTCTATATCCTGCCACATTCTGTTTTGTCTCCCTTAGAGATGAGTTTAAAGAAGTTAGAAAAAGTATAAATATGAGGTAAAAGGAGCTTCTGCCTTTCAATGAACTTAGCTGTATAGTGACCAGCGCAACAGATAAAACAAATGTTACTAGCCTTGCGCTGGAGACAGCCGAGTTCAGGCAGACTAATAACATACTGTCCTGCAGGTGTCAGAGTTGTGATTTGAGAGCAGAATTTTCCTTTTCATATCCCGTATCGCCTCGTATGTCGCAGCTGTGCCCAGCTCTCCCATCCCAGCAGTAAGATGAAATAAAGCAGCACAGCAGACACCTTGCCTATAAGCTTTTTTTGCAGAAAAAGTACATTTGCATTCAGAGACTTCAGGACAGACATTCAGAGAGACATTCAGAGATTCAGGACAGAATCTCAGCCCTCCCAAATGGGAAAGTAAAGCTCTAAGTTGTCTTGCCAGATCCGTGAGTAAGCCAGTTTCTTCCAATGATCCTCAGTTTCAGTTTCTGTAAGAGCAACATTTATAAAAAAACCAAGTACGTTCTTAACAAAGTCTGAAAAAACCTACAGGAACCTTTTGAGCACGTAACAGGGTTAGCCACAAAACAAAATTGCTAAAAATTCTCCAAAATTTCATCCACACTCAGACTTCATCTTACTAATATTTCAAGCAATACAAGTCCAGATACTGACACACTGTAGTTACCAATATCTACAAAAGGTAAGATGAATTTACCATAACAAAAGCACTGCATTCAAGAGCTGAGGAAAAACTGACCTTAGAGCTGAGGAAAAACCGGACAGTTCCTCTTCCTTCACTCTGGATTCAGTACCAAAAACCGACGAGAGCTGCTATCACTGCCCAGGGCTTATAGAAAGTGACAGCAGAAAGGAGGAAATGAGCCACACCAGTCACTGCAGAAAAGTTAAAGGCTCCGGGGGAATTCCAAGGAGGAAAATTAACAGGAACCTGCCTTCTAGCAACCCCTGTATAATAAGCACTGTTACCCTTACCGGTCACTCGTCACCACTAAGAAGAGCTTGCGCTTGTCACTAGTTAGGAACAGATGGATTTATTCAGTTGGAAACCAAAACTGGATGACAGCTGGCGGTAAAAATTTCCGGTGCTCCCCAGAATTCTTCCTCCCCTTTTTTATTCCAGTTCAAATCTGACCCAAAGACATGCTGTTAAACAGTCCATCAGTAAGAATAAAGCAAGCAGCATGCAGACACTCTTACCTTGCAGCTCCATTTGGCGTAACAGAAGTGAAAGTACTTCTTTCACATGTTCACAGACTCTACCAATACAAAATTAGTTTGGTATCTTGTGCAAATGTCTCTTGCCATTGGCCCAAAAAGACAAGTAGGATGTTCTGTGAAACAGGAGCTTGTAAATCTTGTCTGGCTTACACATGGTGTTCAGTGTTTGCTTGTAGCAGCATCTGATGGAATGCTTATTCATCTAATCATTGCTTACCCTGCCAGTGCCTACCTGGCATAAGACAAACAACCCTTTGAAAAACAACTTTATGAGTATTTCTGTCGTGATGCTTATAGCTGCTTCTGTGTGGCTCTGCAAGCTTATTTGCCTATTTTTCTATTTTTTATCATGCATAGACCTACAGAAGTTAGAAATTAATTATGGAAGAGAATATATTCTCAAGCGAGCAAATACTTTTTGTAGTATTATTCTATTGGCTATAGCTTATAACAAAAGTTTCACCAGAGTCTGAAGGAGAAAGGAAGGAAGTGGGATTTGATGACGTCAACAACATCCAGGACTTGCTGCTTCAGTAAGGCAAGTTTTTAATCAGTTGCTCGGTAACAAAGTGCTTCTGCACAAGGTAGCAGGTCCTATAAGCAAAGCAGCTGCTGACCTGTGTAAGCCTTTTACCTTTGCAGAGGAGATCCACTTCCACCAGCTTCCATGGGAACATGCTCACTGGGAAGAAATAAAGCTGTTTCCTTCCTGGGAGAGGCTGATCTGTTCCCAGTATTTACAGAGATACAAGGCCCAGCCGGAGATACAGGGCACTAGCCTCTTCAGGCTCTCTAACCAGCCAGGCAGCTGTGTCCTTGGAATTCCTCTACACAAGAAGAAAAGCAACATCTCGGTATAACAGCATTCAGAGCAGGAGATAATAGAAGGCTGCACAAATACAGATTCTGTATTTTAGTGCTCTGTTTTGATAGACAATAATACAATCCTGCATGAGAAATCCCTACAAAATTTAAGAGGGTTATTTGTTAGCCTTATTTTCTAACCTGCAGCACAACCCCAAAAGTTATTAAGCTCCTATACTAGCCCTGTGGGCAGATTTCTTTACCAGCTTCTGAGGCTGTAATCCCATGAGGTGATCTACATACTTCAGGAACGAAAGTTTGGGGAACAGAAGAGTTCAGCTGTTTACTGTGAGTCCAGTTCATAACCGCAGCAAAGACCGATTGTCCACTTTTTTGTAATACCCATAGACGCTTAGAAACAGCAGAAAGAAATTGCTGGAGCAAATCAGAGTACTGTTTCATCTAGTGGACTAGTCTATAAAGAGGGTCTTAAGAGGGGAAAAGCAGACTGGAAAACAAGAGGCTGTGAGACAGCTGTGAACTGCCTAAGCTTCTCAGGTGACCATCAGCTTCTTTGCTTCAACGTTTGCTGATACACTGCCCTACTGCAAAAGGAGGGAACAGAACATATTGATTAGTATTGGAAGCACTGCAAAACGGATGTCAATAGTGCACTTTGCAAGAGGGGGAAAGCTGGGACTTTTTTGTCCAGAAATTGTAAAGATCTATTTTGTGGTAGAAGAAAGAGTTGCAAAACTATTAAGTAATCAGTGAGAAACCTGCTGATATCAATCTGTTCCTGACCAGAGTTTTCTTTGCAAGGCTTCTTCAGAGTGAAACAGTGATCGAACATAAGGCTGAAAAATTAACAAATTTCAAAAAGAAAGTCAGAAAATAATTTGCTTCATAGGAAGCTGAAGTCTCTAATACAATTTGAGTAATTTCCTGGTGAACTAATGTCTTTGAAACCACTTTTTTTAAGCCTATCTCTACTACAAAATCTAGAGAACAGTGACAATGGTTGAACATGTGATGGATGAAGACCAATGCTGCTTCTGATGCACTTCAGCCTCCCTCTGTCATGTCTCAAATAAATGCAGGCTTTGTGACAGAGATACAGAGCCAGGCATGACAGGATCAAGACCTTTGAATGGAGGTTTTAGGTGCTACCATTACAAAAATAAGAAGGAGCAGATATCTTTCCAAGCACTTCAGGGATTTAATTAAAAGTAGAAACCAGACTATCCCAGCAGAAGTGACACTAGGCCACTTGCTATGATATTCTATATTTAAAATATGAATTCTTGACATTAATTTGAATGTGCGTAATAATAGAGGTAAAATCTTCCAGGTCAGTATTTTGCCCTCTCATGAACTATCTTAAGTTTTTTTTCCCCAGCATTTCCTCTTGTACTTTCATCCATGGCTTGAGAAGTGATGTCCAATACTGTATTACAGGAGAGGAAAAAATTTATACCCCTCACTATGTTGCAGCCCAAGGTCCTTCCATCAGTTTTGCAGGATTACCCCAATATTCTACTAAGTATTCTTTCACTTTCCTTTTACAGTTGCTTGGTTTTGTAAAAGTAATTCTGAATGCTATAGTTAATGCTGGGGTTCTGTCATTTACATAAGATGGACAATGTTAGGATTGTCCCAGAGCTATCCCTGTTCTCCAACATATACATTAATCCTCTGGTGGGTCAGACTAAAAAATGAGTTTACTGCCTCAGAATTATAAGGTGTCTGCATTTTTATCTCCCTGGCTGCCCACTAAAAACCTCGAAACTCTTGAATCCAGCCTCATAAGTCATTAAGTACCTCCCTTCCTTAAATCTGCAGCAGTCTCTTGTAGACAGTGCAATTTTGTTGCTTATAGACATCTGGAATTTAAAGTGGAGAGCCTTCCTCCCATATATGATTGAAAAAGATAAGATTTCCCTGCATGAGTTGCCAGCATGTGCCATGAGCAAATGCTACTCAGACTATGAGTGGCTGGTATGTCAGTTGAGAAAAACTGGCCTTACCATGGTCTCTTTAATCTACTTTGCATCTCTGGTTCTGCAAAAGGTGGCAAAGAACAAGTTTTATTATGGCCTGGCTACGAAAATGGGTATCTGGTAGCTACCCTGAATGGGTGGATCTCCTTTTAGCTGCTCTTGCATGACATTCCGCTCTCTTCTCTTCCCCACCTGCTCTCCCCTGATGTACTTTGCAATATGCCAAAATGCAATCTCAAAATGCAATAAATGAAAGTAAATCTTTAACAAAGCAAAAAAGAAAACCAAAGCTGATTTACCAGAAATGTACTTGCTTCCTGATGACTCATTATCTGTCATGTTTTGAGGCTTACTGCCACAGAGGTTTAAAGAACAGAGGGGAATCAATGTGTTCAAGTACAGGTCCCATTTTTCCACAAATGTCAGAGGTATCTTCTTTGTGAGGTCCTCTCTGTCTTTTTCATGGAGCAAGGCTTGATGGTACTCCTTGGATATCATATCTTCTTTCAGCATGAGGTTAAGCAATGCGTGGTCATCAGACGCTGCAGCAGTTGAAAAAATCTTCCTTACCCTAGGCAGGATCTCCTTAAAGAGATTCATACCTGCATCTGAAGACATTTGAAGGAGGTCTGAGCAAAATCTGAACCGTTTCCGTAAAATAAAAAAAATACACCCAGCATCAAAAAGATGAAGTGGAAAAAAACCCCAAACGTTAAGAGACTTTGGCCTGCAATAGCAGAGGTATTTCCTCATTTGATTAAGCCTTGAAATAACATTTCCAACAACAAATAACTTCTTGATGAAATGACACAACAGCATAATTCTTCTAAGCATTCATAAAACACAATTTTACAATCAGCAACATGGTCACCTGAAAAAATAATTTAAAAAAAATTTATTAAATCCATTAAAGAAGGATTGCTATAGGTGGATCTTTGTCTGCTGGCCAAGGTGGAGTGTGGGCCCATTAGTGGGCCCAGCAAGGTTATTGCTGAATCAGAAAAGTACCAAAAGCTTCAGCACAAAACCCATCCTCTGCAAGAGGGAAAGGTTTAAAACTCGGAGACTCCAATGTAAGATTAGAGATTAGGTTGTGAATAAATTCTGCTTTCACAAAAGTCAAATGGGTTAGAACCAGGGTAAAAACTGTGGGGTAAAAAAATGTCACAAATCTGTCTCTGGTTTCTGCCATATCTGAAGTTATTAGGAAGAAAAATAACTAGGCAACAAGTTGGGCGTGACTTCCATATAATTTTATTCAAAGTTATCATACTTCTATTCCAAAGGGCAGACAATTTAAGTTAAATTGCTTAAATGGAAGAGTTTTCAAGTCCCCAGTTTAAACAAGTAGCAGATCTTCCACACCACCAAACACAATGTTAAATACAGCTCCAAACCTACTACAACCTGAGCCCTCAATTTAGCTCAAAACTATTAAGAAGTGTTTTTTAATATTGCCTTCTGGAGTAATTTCTTGCTCTTCTGTTGTAGAGCTCAAGACTAGGCAATGTCTAATTAGGGCACTTCAAAGACTTCTAAATGCAATCAATAGTGTCTTACCTTTGTCATAAGAACATTTTCTAACAGGGAGTAAAATAAAGAATGGATGCCTTCAGACTGGATAACTTTGAAAAGAAAAAACCCCAAGTTTTCAGTAAGAGCAGAGTGAAAAAACGCAGCAAATTATCTTGATCAGATCAGTAAAATGTATATCTACAAGTAGAGTATTTTTTCCTTGTTAAAACTGCAAAGATTATTAACCAGTCTTGTACACTGAGACTGCCTGCACAACACAGAATAAATCTACAAAGCCAACATCAAAAGGGAGAATGTCATTAGTTACTAGAACATTAATGTGTTTAACACAAGCACCTCTGAGCCACCTGTGAACATCAGTCATGTTGTAAGCAAAAATAAGGTATATAATTTATGAGCTAGGTTAACTAGAGTCTATTAAAATGGTTCTTATTCATAGTAGCTACATCTACTAACAACGATTTGTTAAAGATGCAAAGTAAACTACCGATTCTGCTGAGATATAAAAAGTACTGTAAATGAAACGGCTGTTCTTATCTATACAACTTTTTAAAGTCAATGTTTTACATTTCCAGATCTTTGATCATGCAAATGTGTTTTATAAGGCCTAAACATATTAAAATGAATATCTAGAATTAAACAGATTCTATCCAGTGCTTCCTAATGCTGATTTATTTTCCTTATACCTATTTAAAATTTTCCACTTAATGATCTGTACGATGTTTTGCAGTGGCTTTTGTTCAGGCATTGTTAGTGTTTGGGGAAGAGTACTTCAGTGCTTTAGAACAGAAGCAACAGCGTTATAAAGATGGCAGTGGCTAAATAAAGTTACCAACTACTAACAATTCAGTTTACACCATAGGTTTTTTTCCACTCTGTTTTTAGATACCTGATTGTTATAGCAGAACCTACAGCCTTGAAATAAATACTGGGGCAAAATTTCTAGAGCTGTCTGGGGGCTTACAGATGGGATCTTTTAAATCCAGTTTGCTACATGGCTGCCTAAACAAGTCTGTAGGCTGAGTATGGGATAAGTATTCAAATATAATCTAAATAATTTTCTCTTTATTTGCGACTAGGTTTTACTACCTTGAATATTGCCATGATTTCTTTTCACTGTCGAACACATTTGAAAGTGGAGCAATAATTCCGCCTGGTAAGAAACAATGCACTGAGAGGAACTTGCTAAATCTCTATATAACTTGTAAGTACACTACTGCAAATTCTGGTTAAAATCCAAAAAATCTTTGTAGAATAACAACAATTTGCTGCTTTTTGCAAACATTCATGTTTATGTTCAAAACCAGGAAGTGAATGCGAAACATCGGGAAAATAAGCTATCTCATCCAGTAGTATGATTTTGACTTGCAGCGCAGGTAGGTAACAAGCTTTACCGTAACTATAAATGGCAACTGAGAAAAGCAGATTAATTTATTTTTCTTATGGAAAAGTAAATCTCTTGGATCTTTCATGCATATTCTTATCTCACTCAGAATTTGTCTTTTAAATGTATTTCATTTAAAGTTGCTGCCTACATTGATTCACATTAGTTTTGTTGAAGTATGGGTAGGAATAAGCTCCAACTCATTCAGAGTAGCATTGGTCCTGGGGTATTACATGAAAAGGACTGTTTCCCTTAGTTTTATCAACATAAAACTGCACTGAATAAGATGCTTCCACTTGTACTTTACCATCTTGTGAAGAAGAAAACATGCTTAAGGCAGCTAGAGGTTTGCCTTGCAGAAAATTGGGAACTGCTTGCTATCACAGCAAATCTGAATGAGTTTACCGAAGCTTGGGGAAGAGAGACTGTCTCAATCTCAGCTTCTCCTGCAATCAGTGTGCTCCTGAGTGGGTTCAACAGATTGGGGAAAAAAAAAAAAAAAAAGGTATTGTCTCCATTATTTGGCCAGGGAGGTTTTCAGAAACCTTTCTCAGCATCATGAGTCACATTCAAGGCCCCTCTAGTTCTCCTGACTCCAGCAGTTCTCCTGACTAAGAAGTCTCCTTCTTGACGGGAGGTGAAGAGTTCAAGCCACATGAGAAGCTGTGTATTAAAAGAAACTCAATTTAAACTGTATTCCTCAGCCAGTCTCTGCAACTTATTGACCTGCTGCACCTTAAGCCAGATACAGAAAGCCTTGCTCAGTGCTCCAGGGCATGAGTGTGTTTGACTGTGAGGGGATATAATAGTGTGGGAATGGTAGATTTCTTTTTGTGTGCAAAGAACTCCCCTCCATAGGACAGTTCCCTCCCGAAGAAGACAAACAAGTGAGCAAATACCTTGTGATAGATCATCATTGACACATGAGAAAAGCAGATTTCTGCAAGTGTTTCACATCTTAAGCAATTTCCACCTGCAAACGTGCCCAGGCAAAGTTCACCATGAATAGGAGATTATAGGCTTTTCAACCCAAATACAATATTGTTTCTTCTGTTATGTCTAGATTTGAGACAGATCAAAAGTGGGATTATCTTTGCATAGGTGTTAAGATATAAGTATTTCAAGTTGATTCCTGTTTTACTCCTCCCACATGTTTTAAGGATTCCTGAGGAGTTTTCCAAAAAGATCTGCAGGATCATCATCTGGGAGGAAGCGTGGTTTCTATACAGCTGTCCCCAGTGGGCTATAGGCAAACATACCAAGGACTACCGTGCTAGAAGTACTCTGGCTTTGACCTCAAAACTGACTATCTTGTAGCTAAGGCCAAAATAAGGGAAAGGGGACTACAGTGGCGTAAGCTTTGAAAACTTGATTCAAGTTCTAGTGCTGCTACAGTCCTGATTTGCAATTTTGAGAAAATAATTAAATGTTGTTTCTATTTCTGCTTTTGGTTTTGCATTTCTATAAATAAAAAAAAAAAAATTACTATCTTGACACTAGATAAAACCTGCTAAGGCTCATGACATACCCAGATGCCAGGTACTGAAGGACGTAACCTGGCCTACACTGGTACACTTTCAGCTGCTTCACTGTCCCTAGGAAAAATTACTAGGATTATTTGGATTTCAAAATTAGCTGCAGACTTTGGGCAGCATCATATTTACTTAGAAGTGATACTTCCCCTCAATGCAGAGAAATCAAAAGCACAAGTTCTCCTTTTTAACTAACTTTCCTCTTTAAAATGTATCATAGCATAAACAATGTGTGTGAAAAAGAGAACTAAGTCAGGCTGTACATTTTTACTATTTGTTGCTTCTCATGTTGCTATTGTTTAGCACTTTCTATAGCTAAGGCATGTCTTTTCCTTTGGACTTTGAGACGAAGACTACAGTGACGATCCTTAAAAAGAGATGCAGCTGCTATGAAACATCACTCTTATCCACATAAGCTGTGTGTCAGTTAAAGAGAATCCTTAAAACAGGAAGGGAGGTTGTGCTGTTGAATACATACATTCATCTGTGAAGCAAAGTAGTGAAATGCTGATGCCTAGATATTATACAGGCTTGAGTCATTACAATCGGAAAGTAGGGAAATCTGTTAAATAGGGTTTCCAGTCTATGAAAAATTGCTCAACCAGCAGTACGTCAAAGCTATTCAGCCCGGATAGAAGGAATCCCAAACAAGAATTATGATATTGAATCCAATTTATGACCAGAGAGGCCAAAGACACTAGCTGACTGGAAAACCAGAGCTCGAAGATGGAGCCAACATCTCAGACTACATGAAAGGAATTTTCAAGGAAGTACAGTCCATTCAGAATACAGTATCTACTGAAATCAATAGAGACTTTGCAGCAATGTCCATGAGCATTACAGAATGCTGCCCTCAATGAATATCTGATTACCAGCCTATCCCCTAACTTTGTTACATTTTGCAAAGCTGGACTGCAAAGGAACTTTGAGTAAATCTTAGAATGGAGACTTTGGTTAGCAATGTTGTGGTTTTTGTTGTACATACACACTCACACAGGATTTCCTAAGTAATTCTGCCAAGGTTGACAGCTCTTAATGTAAAATCTTTTATGTCTATTATGAAAATTACTTCCTGTAGGAAAGTAAAGCTGTGGTATTATGGAAAATGTTTTGAACGTAAAAGGTTTGTCTTTTAGATTGAGGAGTTGGGTTTTTTTCCGCAGAGCTTGTTTTTAAAACTCTCTGATCAAATCTTTTCCCTGCTTCCTCACCTCAGAAACTAGCTATGCTTCCATTGATGCAAAAAAGTCCTTCAGCATCCTTCCATGCCTACAGTTCTAGTATCACCTACCACATTGCTTCCCAAACACTATGATGAGCCTCAGTAGTGCAGCATGAACACTGCAGGTGAGACATGGCATAGAGCCCAGGGTAATGCTGCTGGTCATACTGGCAGCTTCCCCAGAACATAATTTTTCTCAGTTGAGGTTAGGAACTCAGAAGGTTGGGAATTTCCAATCTAGTAGGTGCAAAGAAAGATTAGGGCCTCAAATATTTGTGGTCATTCAGAATCTCACAGAACTTTGGACAAGCATTCTCAGAAGGCTGACAGAGCAAGCCAGGCTGAACCAAAGACGTGTTTAGATAACTGCTTTGCAAAATCCTGACAGACTAACTTCAAAAGGCATTCCTCCAGAAATTACCTTGGCTTCTACCTTTATTAGGCTGGGATATCCAAGTTTGCTGCCAGTCTGCCATAAACATTCAATGGAATTCTTCTGATTCTCTAAAATATTAGCATTTAAAAACTCATAGCCCTTGCATTTTTAGCTTAGTAACATAAATAATACTAACAACATAACAACATCAATTTGCCAGCCTAGCTTGTGCAGTCCAGATTCATTGTTGTGGCAAGAGGACACAGCCACCACAAAGCTCTCTGTGGAGAATTAGGCAGATATACGAAGACGAAGACAAAGACATGAAGCTGTTTTCAGTAGCAAGGTATCAAATATTTTCTAAACTATCTTTGTGTTGATAGGCCCACATTTAAACTATGAATTCCATTACTTTCTTCCTCACTTGAATACCAGTGATTTATTACTTTCACTGGTACTAGAATGATTGTGCTACAGTACATGCTGGAACTTCCCAGTGAAAAAAAAACATTAAACAACTGAAAATTAACAAAATATTGCTGGTTTAGCAATATTTTGCTAAAGCACTGCAGATTTACAAGTGTGCTGTTGTCTTACTACGCCATTTTTACTAGCACAAGGTATTTCATCAGGAAGCCAAGGGTGGAGGGTGAAGTGTTTTCACTAGCAGTTGGCTGCAGCTGCATGCTCTGCAAGCATGCCATGAGCACCAGAACCTGCAGCAACATCCAGCTGCTGCCTGGCCTACAGACAGAGGAAAAGACTGAGAAAAGCTGTTATTCCTTCCCTTGGTTTTCAAGAAGTCTGTGAGCACAAATGCGCAGATCTCTTAGCAGTAGTTTTGGGACAGACAGTGAACAACAGTATTAGTCTTGTTAACAGAAGGACTTGTCATTTTTCTATAGCTGAGAGCAATTAAGAAAAAAAGGAAGAAAGAAAAAGAAAAGAAATCCATATCCTTTCTGTCATTACCACTGGACTTCATATAACTAGTCCAGTACACTGGTACACTGGAGCACGTGACAAAAAACCCCCTGTGTATACTGGTGCATTGGAGCATGTGACAAAAAAACTGTAATTCCCCTTACACTGAAATAAAATAGAGCAAGAATGGGAAACAGAATACAAATGCAAACCCAAACCAACAAGGAAAAGGACATGTGCAAAACCACAGCCTGTGTCAAGTTTCAGAATGATGGAGGCAAGAAAACTGGTCAAAAATACTACACTGACAGTTGAAGAAACCACGTATTTTAGGGGCTTCCCTAGAGCATTTCTGATTTTTGTCAACTAAAACACATACCAGACACAAAAGATACGAAAAGCCACATCAGACACAGTAGCTCTACCTTTAGTCACTTGAATAAACCTGCACTTACCACGACTGTTCATTCCAGTAGCTGTGCAGTAATTCTTGTAACTGCAGACAGTGAATGTGGTATCATAGACACAGTCACACCACCTTCTTTATCAGCAGCTTCAGGTCCATGTTTCCGCAGTCCTGCAGTGCGGTCTCTGGGCTGCTCCGCCACAGGCAAGGGTAACTCTCAAACCCTTCTGCTGAAGCTGCTCTACCCTGCCTGAAGGATGAAAGCCAGACAGTTAGTGCATTCTCTGAGAAACAAATGGGTTTGGGTCCTTGCCCTTCTTCCAAGTTTTATTTCAGTATTTTTAATTGGTGATTATTTATAGATTTTAAAGATGTGTGGATCATGAATTCAGCCCCATTCACAGGAGAAACAAATGCTTCACCCTCCAGTTGGGGAGTCAGGCAGAACAATTTTCACAGGAACAGCTGTGGAGGCCTCCAGTACAGCCCAGAGCTTCCTCCTCTTCAAAGCTGGGAGGTTGAGGCTTGTCTCCTTTCAGGCAGCAGAGGGAATTGTGGTCTCTTCCCAAGCACAGACTCCATTGTACAAGGGCTCACAGGCCACAGACATGAACCTTGCTTTTGGTTTTGCCAAAAGAGGTTGCACCCCTACCTCCAGGAGAGGTTCAGAGCTGTGTACTGCATATAGAGTGAGTTATCTCCAGTAGCGCCTGGTACATCTTGTAAAGAACACACAGTTAACGTGCCGGACCCTGTTCCAAGGCACTTAATGTTCCTGTGGCTTATACAGGGGATCCAGCTACCTAAAGACCAGTCCTGAGCACCTCTACCTCTTTGTATGATCCAGGCCTATAGAAACAGTATGGATTTTGTGAATTTTAATTCCTCGGACACCTCTTCAAGTTCTCTGTGACTGAGTACAAGGAATTTTAGGGATTTGAAGCTATTCAGTGGGCTAGAAAAAACATATTAACAAATTAAGGAAAGATACTATTAAACAATAATTCTGTAGAAGTAGGGACCGCAGTCTGCTTCACAAAAATCTGCAGATCAAAAGAATTAAGAACTGTAGGTACAGGTTTCTCACTTCATTGCATCACCAGATTAGGACCCATTCTTACTTTTGTTTTTTGTGTTTTGTCTATAGGCTACTTTTTTCTGAGAAAGTTATGCCTTTACCATCCCCCGACAACAATTTAGAATAAATAAGAACAACAAATGCAAGGAAATATAGCAAAAGCAGCTTAACCACAGTCTCCACAACAAAAGGTTAAGTAGACATTGCCAGTGGCAGCAGTGATTGAAAAATTGTCCAGCAAGCACCTCCGGGACCTGAACAAGACAATGTAGATATTTCTAGCGGGGAGGGGGGGTGTGTGTGGCTAATGAATAAGCAGCTTACAGCTTTTATAAGCAACTTCAACTTTTATTTTTGCAGAAAAAACAGTGGAAGCAACAGTACTTAATTTTTTATATTAACCTCCTGTTGTACTAAGTTTTTCAACTGTTTGATAACCCTTAGGGTCTTTTACTTAATAGGTTTAAGTTACTTTTATATTAATTTTTTTTTTCCTCAGCAAGTCTATAGAGGACTGGCTTAAGTCAGGAAAGGTATTGGATACTTGTGTGAGTGTGTACAGGCCTTTTAAATTCATATAGCAAAGGAGGGAAGGGACCCCAAGCACCTCTTTTGGTGAAATCAGAAGGCTGCCACTCTGGGAAACAGATCCTATTACTGCTTACTGCAGTGGATCTATGAAGTCACTGAAACCAAACTTTTGACAGGTGTCCAAACAGCCCAAGTTCCTTATTTCTGGAGTTCCCAAATTGAGAAATAAGACATGATTTGCAGAAGTAACAAGTACCAAGAACTGCAGCTGAGAATGACTGAAGCTTTGAACATATCAAGAGATATATAAAGCTAAACACACTAAGAAGTCTGCATCCAAATGTCGGGAAGCAAGGCACCCCAAGCTGGAAGAAAACTGATGACTTTGCTTTGGTCTGCCTTTGTTTTATCTAAGTGACCATTGCACAGTCTCAACAGAAACAGATACTGAAGTAAACTCATTAATAATTGCAAAGCATTTTGTCTCTCAGGTAACCGCACTAGAGATTCCTACAGCACGTGTTAAATAAGGCCTAAAACCACGCAGTGAATACAGAGGATAAAATAAGCTATTTAATAAAAATATGTTATGTTTTCTTGATTTTTTCCTAACTGAAAGGAATACAGATACTACTGCACTTTTTAGAATCAACACCAGTTACTGTGCAATAATGGGTATTTATACTCCTCTTGGTGCCTTGAAATAAAGGCTGGAGTTGAAAGACTCCATTGTATTTTTGTAGTGCCTAATTTATGCTTGCTTGAGCGACTTTGAAACTTTTGGTATGTAAGAAAACCTTGAGTTTTGCTAACAGTATGCACAAATAGGTAAGAAGCCTTAAGTTCTGCTGAGCTTTGTGATTAAAACCTGCCAGGACCAGCTAACTAGGAAGAAGAGATGAACCACCTGAGATGACCCACACTGTGCATGCCTCAAGAAAGAGTTCAATTAGCGGACACCAAGAAAATGACCACCAGAGGGTTTCAAAGACCCCAAAAGACCACCGACCCATTTAATAGCGCATGCCCCAAAGGGCGGACACTATGTAAATAATTTCTGGGAAATTACATGAATATGTATGACAATTATGGGAACTGTAATCAATATGCATATATTAGAGCAATATAAGCTTTGCTTGCTGTAGGTAACGGTATGCATGCTAGGAGGAACTATCCCCTGTGCATCCAGTGCTGTCCAGTGCTGCAATAAAGAATGCCTGCTTTCTAAAACTCCAAAATTGAGTCTTAGAGAGTTTCTTCGACCAGCTTTTTCGGTAACACTCTCTTGAGATACTAAAAAATTATTTTTTTATCTCTTTAGACATAACTGAATGAAGGAGCAATACAGCCTTTCTTTTTTTTAATCTCCATTTATATTTAGGGCCCAAACCTCTTCAGCTTTGACATACCTTTTGGTTACCCATTTCTTACTGATGGCAGAACTTGATCTCTACTGAGAACATATCGCTACATATCACCCAACTGAAAGACACTATCTGATCTGTGAAGTAAATGCTGCAGCTTCTCCCCTGTTAATACAGAGCTGGTGATTACAACAATTCAAGTATGTACAGCCAAAAAATTCCACAGAAATTGGTTCTGGGCCAAGGCAGGAAATCGTCTTTTACAAATTAATTAGATGGTGATGCTATTAGAAAGTTATTAAATATACCTTCTCTTATTTGGCCTATCTCCTCAAAATTTAAACATTTTATTGAACCTCCAACAGACCCTATAAGTGTACCTAATGTGAGTGAGGTAAAAGTTATTCTTGGATTAGCAATATTTTCCAATATTCAGAGGAACAGAATACTTAACTGTAAACACCACTGAGATACTTAAACCAGAGCAACAACTGTCAAGTTATTAAAAATATCCTCGTGCAGTTTACAGGGCAAGTCTCTGATACCATGCCAGTGCAAGATTCCGGGCGACGTTCCAAAGAAAAAGAGAAATCAGCTGACTTCATGATAATGATGTGAATAGCACACCATATTCATCTAGGAGGAGGTTCTATTTATTGTTGAAACAAAGAGTGAGAGAGATGTCTCAGTTATTCATACCAAGCCTTTGGCACTGATAATGCTCTATGATAGAAAGGCCATTATTTGTTCTGGGGAGAGGGTTGCCTGTAAGGTAACAGCAAATGCACAGCAGCAAATGATACAGTTTCAACTATTTTATGCTATATGTTTCAGTCAGCAATTAAATGAAACCCTAATATAGTTCATAAGTGGTCAAGATTTTCCTGTGTACAAACCCGAAAACCAAACCACAATTCATAAATTCACTGTAACTACCTTTAAATTTTGTGCTGCTGAAGCAGTATTTGAGGACTTAACATCACCTTTAGGCTGTTGCTAATCTTTCCAATGTGCAAATTACTTGTAGTTAAATCAGGATGCAGAAAAAATGTTGAAAACAGGAGAGTTTGTTCTGTGAAATCCTAGAAAACACTGGAAACTTCTAATGAGGTTTTGCTTGGATGTATTTATTTTAAAACAAGGATGAATGCTTTTCTAATAATCCCCAAATGAAGAAATTCTTGGTTTGACCAATGATTCCTCTAGTGACCAAGGATCCTTTCTAGCTCTTAATTTGCTCTAAAAGGAAATGATAACCCATACAATACCTTGAATAATCACACAACATAATTTGACATAGCTTTTTAGAGAATGTTACTAAAACCATGTGCACGGTATAGTGATAGTCTTCCATAGTATAGTGGGATTATCTGAGTTTGTTAGGAAAACAGATAATCCCTACAGTGAATCAGTGGAGACAAGCACTGGAAGGAGGGAAAATTAAAGAAACATCTGTTTTAAAATTAAAAAACAAAACACAGGTTCTGTCTCTTTTTTAGTGATATCATTTCATCTCTAATGAAAACAGTTAGGAGCACCTGAGTAGTAAATCAGATACCTAATGTTGTGACAGGCTAATTGTCACCTCTCCCATAGAAGCAAGTACTGTTTTATCTGATAAGGAACGTAGCACACAGTTATTTTCTGGTGCCTTAGAATAAAAATGCAACAGCTCAGACAACAGAGCAACATTACAGAACTACTAAATTCAAACCATCAGACTTGCTGGCAGAACTGTGCTGAGAGGGGAAAGAAGAGCTGACACAGTAGCTGCAATGAATAATCTGGCAGTCAAGAAGATGTGAAACTTCCCTCCACTGCTTCTGTCAGTGCAGTTCTGGGAGCTGCTTCTGAGTCAGAAGCTGGTTCTATTTGAGTTATTGTTAATATGTTGCTCATAAGCAGAAGTGCATGTTGATACAGTAAATGAAGTAGAGGTCAGCTTCAGGTATGCACAAAATTATTTAATAACTGTATTTCATGATAGGTCTCAAAGATTTTTTTATCTTCTTTGGGACTGAAAGCCTACTTAAATATTTTAATATTGTAGGCTATCGTGAGCCAGCCCATCAAATTACAAACTGCCTGTTCAGTTTTTTAGTGCAAGTCTGCTGTACTTACTGACACGATAGTGTTGTTTTAACACTACCAAGGCCAAAATATGACTACCACAATATTAACATTATTAGTCATAAAATACACCTTTCCCCCTCTGCAATTACAAATCCCACCAAGAACAGCTCTACCAGTTTTTCTGATGCCTTAAGTGTTGTCTTGCCCTAATAACCGGACTTCTACAAAGCTACTTTCCAATTAATGTTTTTGAAAAGTTCACCTTAGTAACTTCTGTACTTACTCAACAGATACATTCTGGTTTAGTTAGATGTTTTAGAAAGGACTAGGAAGTTATTATTTTGCAGGCTTATTTAATGCTAGTAGCTAGTCAGATCTACAAAGGACTGTGATTTATCAGATCTTCCTTGACCCTCCACTTCGTACTTAGCTGACTGAACTATTTCTCCCCATTACTGTGAAACCCTTGCCCATACCCTAAAGCTCCGTTGTCTCACTTCTCTCCTACCTCCTTAACTCTGCTGCATAATCCATCTGCAATTTAAATAAAAGCAGGAAAATACCTTCACCTAAAGGGCTGAGTTCCCTACGTCACACTCCTAGTACATCCACAGGACCGTGGTCACGCTGGCCCGCCCGCCAAAGCCGTACGGCAAGAGGGGCACAGGGCCCACCGCGAGGCCGGGGACAGCGCGCGGGGTTTGGCCCAGCGCGGGCAGGACGACGGGCTGTCGGTACCGGCTGGAGCCCTCGAACGAGACACGCGGGCGCGTATCACGTTCGTACACCTACGTTCACCTTTCTCTCCACTATTTCCTTTCGGGGTTTGTCTTCAGCACAAGGCCTACGAAGCCCCGTCCAGCTCGGCGCGTTTGGTGAGCAAGCGGCCCTCGACAGCGGAGCGGACACCCTAAAACGCTGGACAAAGGGCTCCGGCCACGCCGCGGCCTCCGGCTCCCCACGCCTGCGGCCCGGCCCGCTGACGGAGCCCGCCCTGGCCTCGGGCCTAAACGCGGTGGGGCGGAGGGTGGCGGCCAAAGGCACCTCAGCGACGCGGACGCAAGGGAGGAGGCAGGTCTCCCCGCCGGGCCCGGCACTAGCACCGGCTCAGCTGGCGTCCTCCAGCCCCG